CCAATGCAATGTATTAATTAATACACTTCGGACTCAGTGTGCAAGGTTTCTGTGTGTGACAAATTTTTAAGATTACGAATATGAAAATTTCAGACTCAGTGGGCAAGTGTCACACCCCTTTGAAATGTTTTGTTGTCTTCATCCCTCATGTGCTCTGTGTGACCCAGTTTTCCCTCATGTTTGACTGTCAATTAGTTCAGGTGTGTGTCGTTAATTATCTTTATTTTCTTTTGTATATAGTGTTCAGTCCTGTGTTCCCTCGTCTGGTCTATTAAGTCCCTACGTGTTGATCCTGCCTGTCCATCCTGTGTTTGCCTTATTGTGGAATATTAAAGACTATTTGTGTCTATCTTCATCTTCGTGCGTGAATCTTATCTGGTGGACACCGTTTAGACCTTGATAGATTGTTTTGATATGAATAATTTCTTGATGCTGATTTTCTATAAAAATCCTCCCCAAAAAGCATAAAGAATGAATTACAATACATTTTAAGTATATATTTTTTCTTGCTTCAGCCCTCATCTTGGATGGATTATTTTCACTATGCTTTTTACAGTGAATCATTCCAAAGATACAAGACACAGTTATCTTGGAAGGCAGCATAACAATGCTTACCAAATACCACTGTCAAATATTCCTGTGTCCAGCATTTACATATGTGGCAGAATTATTTATCATGCCCATAAATTGTACACAATAGCATCTTAGAGCTCTATGTGCTATTCAATGCAACACTATACACAAGCTTTCCATGTTGCTCTGTAGAAGTTCTACAAATACTCTCACTGTGTTTGTTCACTCTTTGAAAAATGTTTGTTTAGCTGTCATGTTTTGGCAAAGTTCTGTGTATCACTGTGAAAACTAACAGTGGCCGACACAGTAACACTTTATTTTGATAGTCCACTTTAGACATTCTATTAACAGCAAGTAACTTTGCAACTACATGTCAACTAGCAGTTAGTAGAGTATTAATAGACTGTCTGCTTAATATCTTCTAACACTTTCTCTGTCAACATTCTACTAACCCTAAACCTACCCTAACAGTCTACTCTGAGAGTTAGTAGACATGTAGTTGCAAATTAATGAGAATTAGTTGACATGTAGTTACAAAGTTATTTATAGTTAGTAGAATGTCTAAAGTGGACTATCGAAATAAAGTGTAACCACTGACACTAGCATATTCCGCATTGTGGAATATCAATTCCAAATGACAAAAACCCCATTGATCTCCCAGTGAGGATTCAATAGCCAGGCACACAGCACACAGTGGAAGGAAGAGAATGAACACTCATCTAGCACAGTTCTGTTCACTCCACACCCTCATACACCATCCTCCCATTTGCTTCTAGCCAGTCACGTCTATCACAATGTGTTCATTTGAAAATCATACTGTTCCCCCCATAAAGTAAAGGAGAGGGGAATGCTTTGAGCAATCACTTGAGGATGCTCTAGTGTGATAATAATTCATTATGACAGAGAGGAGCTCCATCTCCAATCAGAGCATGGCAGAGACCCCCAAAGCCCTGATGTGGATGACTCAGCCATACACTGCTTCACCTGAGCAGAGCAGACACACAGCTGATTAGCTCCAAACCACTCTCAACAAAAGTGGACTCTAAATGCCAAAAAAGGTGTTTTTGGAATAATTATGTTTTTTATGTTTTTGAAAGTCTTTTATGGTCACCAAGTCTCCAATTATTTGATTAAAATACAGTAAAAACAGTAATATTGTGAACTATTATTTCAATTTCGATTGTAATATATTTTAAAATGTCATTTATTTCCTGTGTTTCACATTCTGCTTGGTTTCTGTTCCTGTTTTTCGTTCCTGAGTTATTTTGTTCCCTTGGTTTCCTTTGCTATTTTGTTTCAATGGTTACTAATTAGTATCAGATGTGTCTTGTTGAGTTTATCATTTTCCTATGTGTTTATGCTCTCAGTTTCATTAGTTCCTGGTTTATTTCCTGCATGTTTTGTTTAGTTTTGTTTGTTTATTAAAGTGAAAGTTGCTAATAGATCCTCCTCACTTCACCTTGCCTGCCTAGCTGAAATAGCAGACCCAGAAATGAAGAATGGATCTAGTAGCCATCTGTCTCCTCCTTCTCACCCAGAATGATCACTCGAGCCAGATCACAGAATGCTCACAAGAAACACACCAGAGGCTTTTTGTAACTTGCCCATCAGCCCCACTTTCCAGATCAGTTACAATGGACAATAAACACTTAAAAACCAAAATCCTTTTTCTCAAGAATACTCCCCAAGGAAAATTTATTGATTTAGTCAAGCTAGTGCTCATAACGAGTTGATCCTCTTTCACCATAGACGATGACATTTGACTGCCAATCACGGGCCTAGAGCCTGAGCCATGCCAACCATGGACCCAGAGCTAGAGCCCATGTGTGCCAAGGACCATCTGCCTTTAAAAAGTTCCATCCTGGAGCTAGATCCTGAAACTCCATTCATCCCACAGCCTGGGCCTGATGCTACATGTTTCTCAGAGCTAGAGTTAGCCCCCATGGCTGTCCTGTAAGTAGTACTAATCCAGCTCGACATCCTGGAGTGCAAGTCCCACCCTGGTTTATTGGACTCCCTGGTTTTTCCTGGCCCTTCCTGCTCCGCTGGTCCCACCTAATCTCCAAGCTTCTTTGTCTCTGTTGGCTCCATCTAGCTCTTTGGCTCTACCCCTCCCCAGCTCCGGGCAGCCCAGTCCGCAGCTACTCCAGCTAATCACTGTCTTCAGGATTACTAGAAAACTACAGGCATGTGAGTTTTATCAGGGTTGGAGTTAAACTCTGCAAGACAGTGGCCCTCCAGAGCTTGCCCATCCCTGGCTTACACGTCGGATTCTCCGCTCTACCTCAGACCTCCAAGGCCAGGACTCCACCTCAGCCTCTCTCCCTCATCTACTCTGTGGCTCTGCCGGGTTCCCATGCCTCTGGCTCTGCTTTGGTCAGACATCACCATGGTTCCACCACAGGCTTTCAGGCTTTAAGCTACACCTCAGACCTCCACTGCTTTGGCTCCAACGGGCTCCTCCTTTCCTCCAACTACACCACTGTCCTCGCTCTGCACTGCAACTGGCTCCGCCTCAGCTCTGCCTTGGCCCTCCAGACCATTGGCATCAGCCTTGGTCTTCAGCTTCGCCTGGGTGTCCACATCAGTTGGTTTGGTTCTTCCCTTTCGGCTCCACCATGGACTATTGGCTGCGGAAAATTCATCTTTCCATCACAGGAATAAATTGCATTTGAAAATATTAAAGTTTAAACCGTAAACAGCGACCATAAATACACTGGGCTGGATAGAGAAAGTTCAAAATGATTCTAGCAATTCAAAATTTCCATAAAGTATTTGTTCAGATCATACAATTGTTATTACAGTATAACATAATAATTTCTCTCAAAATATATTATAAACAATAAATTAAGCTTGTAATCACTAAAATAATTTTTTTTTTTTTAAACTCCAGGATGCCATTGTGTGTGGAGTTTACATGTTGTGCATTCATTCAGGTGCTCTGGTTACTCCCACAGTCCAAATACATGCATTAAATTGCCCGTAAGACAATACATTGCATACTGGAGGGAGTGTGTGTGAGTCTGTGATGGCCTGTCCTGTTTTCCTGCCTATGTCCTGTGATGCTGGGATAGACCCTATGGCAAGTGTTTTGGAGAATGAATGGATGGATTCATTTGTTACCATAAACTGAGCTTCTATCAAAAATAAATATTAAATAATTGCAATGCTTTGTTCATAGTTGAAATTAGGTCTGATCATGGCTTTTAAAGTTTATGTCAGCCAGTAACTGGCGGCAACTATATAAATAAATGTAGCTCTGTAACTAAATTCTACCAAATTCTACTCTACAAAATATAACACAGATTCTTTTTCATAATGCACTCCAGATAAATGCAGTATCTTCTTACATAGCAAGGCCTACCTGTACATTCATTCAAACTTCAAATCCCTTTTAAAACTGCACAAGTACTGTATTCACATTACAAAAAGTTGACTGTATATCCTTCAGGTTTGAAACTTCTCTTCAAACCACATAAAGGAATATAAAACTGACCTTCAGACTATTTGAAACATTCAGACAAGTCTTTGTCAAGCACAAATCTTGATATAATTTATTTTCATAGTTGACCGTTGATGTCTTTATTTTTTGTTGATGCCATTTTAATAAAGCAATAAACCACAGAGACTGATCTATCTCAATTTTACCATTTAAGGACATTTAAGAATAACCCTTTATCCATTACTTTAACACTTTTAGAGCTTACAACTTCCATGAAGTCTATTGGTCACTTGACCCTTTAACATCAGACTTCAAAAAGACCTGAAGACTGCTGTTTTATGATATTTTTTAACACATCACTAAACCTGTTGGTCACACTTCATTTTAGGTGGCCTTAACCTTTTGATACAATATAATTGTTATGAACACTGCAATTACATTTAAAGTGCATGCATTTAATTAACATTTAATGCAAGTACTTTACACCTAACTGTAACCCAAACCTTACCCTGTAACTCTTATAATCCTACCCCTACCCTACCATTACTCCTAAATCTAACCATACCTCAATCCATTAGCAGCCAATTTTCCAGAGCAACATATACATGCAGTTTAATGTTGGTACATAGTATTAAAGGCCACCTAATAAAAAAGTAAGACCATGCAGATTTCTTAAAAGAAAATCATTTTTGAGTAGAACTGCAGTCCTATTGAATGTGACATTCCATGATAGCCATATAAAGAGGTTTATCAGTAGGTGCATCAGTGGATGTATTTAACAGTAGTTTTGGGATTGCGTACAGCATTGCCAGACTGCCGTCGAGAAGTTGCAGTTGTTTCATGTGCACTGAAACAGCAAGCCCTGCAATTTTTCATTGTCAAACAGAAGGCCGTGGAAACGCGTCATTGTGATCACAGATAGAGCTGGGCTGAGCTGCAAACAAAAGCAGATCTCAAAAGATCATTCAACACAGCAAAGCCTTTGAAAATGTTGGCCTTGTGCACGGGACTCCACTGGAAGAATCCATCGAGGACACCATGTGAAACACCAGGATGAAAAGTGTTTTTTAGCTATTTGTCCCAGAGGCCCGAACGGGCAGAGTTTAGTCTAGCATGAGACAGCAGAGGGTGAGCACCCCAGTTTTCACACACTAAAGGTGCTGAGGGGCACTAAAATACTAAGCCGAAGATTGTAGAGGTGGAAACCATCACGCACGCAGTATGTTCAAGACCAGCTACCGGCATGAGGTGCGCAAGGAGAAGTACGAGCACACCGATGTCTTCGAGGAGCCCATCAGCCCAGAGATGGAGTCGGCTCCGGCCGGCGGGCCCTCGACAGTCAAGGGCTGGGAGAGCCTCCAGGAACTAAACAGCCGCTTTGCACGTTACATCAACCGAGCGCGTGTGCTGGAGCAGCGCAATGCTGTGTTCCGCAAACAGCTGGAGACTCTTCAGCGCATGGAGGAGGCACCAGGGCTGGAGGAGGTCTTCAGCGAGCAGATCAGCGTCAACAGACAGCGCATCCGGGAGCTGCTGTCGGACCGAGCCAAGCTGGAGAGAGAGCTCAAAGATGCAGAACGCATGCTGGATGAGTACAACAGCAGGTTAGACAACGCCACAGAAGTATAAGGTTAAGGTTAAACGCTATCGTCTTATCCAGAGAGCAGGGTGGCCTAAATAATGCAAACATATAGCCATCGTGTTATTAAATAGATTGAGCACAAGAACATTTAATTATAGCAGACAATATTCAAGCATCTACTTAAATAGGAAGAAAGATGTAAAGAAGTACCATTTAGGGGCTGGTTTACCTGAAATAAATTATACCATATTAACAGACAACAGAACAAAAAAGCTGGTGCAGCAGAAATACAGATGATTTCACAGACAATTGACAGCTGTTCTGTCGTGCTCCTAATTGTCTAAAAACTCTTAGATTTGATGCCACTAACCTGGCAAACTTTGGCAAACCCAGTTCTTCCTCAAAGGTACTCAGTGATGCAGTGAGAAAACATTAGTCTTACAGGCATTGAGAAATCGTTCCAATTAAAAAACTGAAATTATGTAAAGTCAGTCAGCCAGAGCACTTAAAGTTTGTGTAATATGCATCAGATCATCAAGAAGCATGTTTTTATAATTGCATTTTTTGTCTCACAATTCAGTCTTTTCTTGTTATAAACTCACAATTCAATCTCTCTATTGAACTGAACACAATATAAAATCAAAATTGAGTTATAAACTCACAATCATTAGTTAACATCTCATAACTGTGACTTTATATCTGGCAATTCTGACTTTTTTCTCAGAATTGTAATAAAATCTGAATTATGAGATTAAATGTTGCAACTACCTTTTTCACAGGTCAAGGGTGTTGTAAATGAGAATTGGTTATGTTTAGATGTTTTAAAACTCCAAAGAAACCACTGAACTATGGTCAAAAGAAATCACAGCAGGCTCCACTGATCGAAGCAACATAGAGCAGATCAATAACGCTCCTTATAACTAATGAAGAGCCTTGAAATGAAAATATTGAACATGCATGACGAACTGTGCTTGAAACGCTCTCTGTTGTCCACAGATACAGAAATGAATGTGAATATCAAGAGCAGCTGCGGCACACGCTGGAACAGCTCAATAAGGTACCAATAAACTGTGCCGTTCTCCGACCTGCAATTTCTCAGGCAATTTATAAAGCAATAATCCACAAGAGATGATGCTTTTTAGTAACATAACCACAGGCAAGGGCTGCTCTTAGGCTCAGCACCAGGTGAACCACCTCAAATCAGTGCTAAAATCAACATAACACAGACTCAAGGACTTATCACTCTTTTATAAATGCAATACTGTAAGCTACTCGAGGCCTTTAAACTACTACTTTGACCAGAAACATACTCTATGCAAGTCCTTTCAAATTCAAATGCTTTTAGCTATTCCTAACCTTAAGTCTGTGTGTTGGTACAGTTTGTTTTGCAACAATATGCATTCTCAGAAAAATCAAAAAAGGTGATATAGCAGACATTTGTTTAAAAATGTCGTCTTCAGTCTACTACTGTAATGGATGTTTTGAACAAGTTGTGAAACTGGTAGCTACTCAGATAATAGCACATTTTATTGGCACAGATATTTAAAGGTAACTCTGTCACTCCCTTGAGTTTTGGGGATTGCTAGCGTGATAACTAATGCATGAATACTTATGTTGCTGGCAGGCATCTGTATTTGAGTCACGTACTGTATGTTTCTGGTTTAAGATCAACCCTTACTTGTGGTGAAGTCTCTAATGCATACCATGGAGTGGTTCATTGCTTTAAAAATCCACCACTGTTTATCTGCTCGAGTGCAATGTAACAGGGCTAACGGGAGTCTGAGAAAGGAAAATGCACTACCGCTGTTCATTTTTCCAGAGAAAGTCTCTCACAGCAACACGATTATGAGTCCATTTGCTCTTGTGTTTACAGGAAGCCGACATGGTTCTATTGAGAAACCTTGATTATCAAATCCAGCTGCAGTTCCTGCAAGATGACGTCAACGCCACCAAAGAGAGGCACAAAAAGGTAGGAGGTGAACACAACTCCTATTTTCTATCTTTTTGAGTAGCTTCTCGAAAGCTCTTCTGCGAAATTGTCATCTGGTAGCAGAAGTGTACACTGAATGGCAAACCACGGTAAATACACTTACTAAAAGCATTTGACACAAGTTATGTTTTAAAGTGTACACTTGTGGATGCTTTTCATGTAGAAATTGAAAAATGGAAAAATAATTGGAAAGGACAGCAATTACACTTTTAAAAAAAGATCACACCATCTCCCTTGCACACTCTGAGTCAACATGAAGTAAAAAATGGCCCTATTTAATTTTTACTGCATGTTTAGTTGTTATTGCTAACAATTAATCACAGCAGTTAATCCAAATATATTCATTCATTCATTCATTCATTTATCACCTGCTTCCATTTTTAAATGTAATGGCCACTTTTCACAATTCAGTTCATAATAGATGAAACCGAGTTTTGTGTTACATTTTTAGTAACACTTTAGTTTAGGGATCAATTCTCACTTTTAAAGTTGCTTATTAGCATTCATATTACTAGCAGTAGTATAATGTAACAAAGTAATAATTATTCATTACAAGTATTTTTGGGAGTAGCTGTACTTTACTTGTCAGCTTTCACTTTTACTCCAGTATAGCTACATTTCCTAATTAAAATGTATACTTTTACTCCGATACATTTCCCTGAAGCATATTAATTACTCACTACAAACTAAAGTCGGAAGAAGACAAAGAACACTCAAAATTCAAGGCATTCTAAATTGTAGATGGTAAAAATGCCTCTGTATGTTTTTTCTATTTATATAATTTAATATAGATAATCTATATCACACAAAGGGTGCAGTTTTTTCTCCAGATATCAGCATGATAACAAATGTAATAATCATTTTATACAACTTTAATAACATTGGCATTAAGTGACTTACATTTTAGAGACAATATTGCCAGTTTTTTGCTCAATTTTGCCAACAAAAATCGGCAACGGGCAGTGTTTACTTATTGAATGAATCAGCTTTTTGAACGAATAAGTTGAATGAGTGATTCAGTGATTCACTCATTAAAGGGGTCATATTATGCGATTTCAAGTTTTCCTTTCTCTTAGGAGTGTTACAAGCTGTTTGTGAATAGATAAGATCCCTAAAGTTGCAAAGGCTAAAGTCTCAAACCCAAAGAGATATTCTATTTAAAAGTTAAGACTCGTCACACCCTCCTAAAACACCTCGTTTAAACATGCCCCCACATATCTACGTCACTGTGTGGGAAGATTTGCATAACACCGCTCAAATGCTCACGTAAAGAAAGAAGGCGTAACTCTGATTCTCGCTGTAGTATTGTTGTTGTTGTCTTGGAGACGCTGTGTGTTTCGTTGTGAAAGCAAAACTACTTTGTTTGGTCTTCCAAAAGAGGACACAACTAGTAATCAGTGGTTAAGTTGTATTTACAGCACTGTTCCAGAACAGTTCAAACCAAATATTTGTGTGTGCAACGCATTTTACGGAGGACTGTTTCCTGAACCTACAGTGCCGGCTGTTCTGACTCACAGCCTGTAAGTATGTTTTCATACTCAATTCAAAAACATGAAAACCCATTATAAACGAGGCATTCGTTGCATCCAGTGGGGACATAATTATGGATTATAATGACTTATACTGTCTTTTTGCGCGTTGCATTGCATCGCGCCGCGCCGCATAAACATAAAACCATGTCTGCATTTGTGATCGGAGAAATGACAAACAACAAGCACTACTCTACACTGCCCAAAAAACTCGCTTTAAATATAAAAGATGTACTTACAGTCTTTGAGTCAGAACAGCCGGCATTGTAGTCTACTCTTCCAGGATCAGTAAACAGTCCTCCATAAAATGTGCTGCACACATCCGAATATTTGGGTTGAATATAAGTGTTCTGGAACAGTGTTGTAAATACAACTTAACCCACTGACGATTCAAACGCGAGTTTTGAGCAGTGTAGAGTAGCGCTTGTTGTTTGTCGTTTCTCCGATCACAAATGCAGACATGGTTTTATGTTTACGCGGCGCGATGCAATGCAACGCGTAAAAAGCCAGTATAAGTCATTATAATCCGTAATTATGTCCCCACTGGATGCAACAAATGCCTCGTTTATAATGGGTTTTATTGGTTTTGTCTCGTCGCGCCGGGACACGGCATCACAGTATGGTAAGGGGCGTAACATTTCCGTCACACGCTTGAGGTATTCGGCCAATCACAATGCACTGGATAGCTGGCCAATCAGAGTTCACCTCGCTTTTCAGAAAGATGAGCTTTGCAAAAATCAACGCATTTCAGAAAGGCGGGGCATAGATGAGAAATGTACAGTATGTGGAAAAGAATGTGTTTTTTTAACCTTAAACCGCATAAACACATTTCATTACACCAAATACACAAAATAATGTTCTTTTTTAGCAACATCATATGACCCCTTTAACACAGTCAAATGCTTTGAGTCAGCCATTTGAATGAATCGGTTAAATCTCAATGACTCACTCGTTAGCAGTCACTTGCTGCCACCTACTAGCAGTTTAATTTTTCATTTTGACAATTTTTTCATGTTTTCAAATATCATTTGAAGAACTAATCATTTAACATATCAGTATTCAGTGTTTTATGTTTAAAAAGGAGCATTATTTATGCATTTGTAACATTTTGTACATTTATTTGCTCATTTTCCATTTTGCATTTACTTGTGTTTTTACTTTCAATACTTCAGTATGTTAAATATATTATATTAAGTATGTTTATTATAATATACTACTTTTCATACTTAAGTACAATAAATATCACATACTTTAAGACTTTTACTCAAGTAATATTCTAAACGGTGACTTCAGCTTCTACCAAAGTCATTTTCTGGTAAGATATCTGTAACTTTTACTCAAGTGTGGCTTTCAAGTACTTAATCCGCCACTGATTACTAGCATATTGGCTGTGTATTAGTACTTATAAGTACATATTTATGTCTTATTCTGCATAACCATATTCTACATCCCTTAATCCTACCCCTTACCTAAACTTAACAGCTAACTATGAATAAACAGCAAATTAGGAGTTTATTGAGGCAAAAGTCATAGTTATTAGTTAGTTAAAAAGCGTGGGACCCTTTGTTTTCTCACTGAATATCCTCATATTCCTCATTTTTTTAATATATTCTCAGAAAAACAGTGCATTATGGATGTTGTTGAGAGGTGTGTTTTTGTACTGAGCTTACATTTGTTCTGTTCACCCAGATGACAAAACTTGGCACTGGACCATCTTTTAAATGTGATGTCAGCAGTGTTTTTCTGAGCCGTATGGTGACAGGCCATTGTGTGCTCCTGCATTATGTTTAATCAGCACTGCTGTACATCACATTCAGCGCCTGAGTGCCAGAAGTTTCTCATCAACATTTACATTATTTCAGAAGCTAGAACAGCAGCTGGAAGCACAAAAACGCTCTCCAACACAAACATAGATATATGACAAAGCATCGTAAACTTAAGTACATCGTAGACCCATTGAAACCAATGGAGCTACGATCAACTTAAGCCTATGATGCTTTTGGGAAATGCAGCCCAGATGTTTTTTATGCAGTCATGCATATACTGTCTAAAGGCGCTGACTCGGTTAATCATTCATTGTTTACAGTGCATGAATATCACTATGTAACGTTCGACCCTATGGGTCAAATTTACAATTGTTAAAATGGGGTCAGATTATACTGTGTGAGAACTTTGAGCGTTTAAAAAGATGAGACAGACAACAATGTTAAAAGTGAAAATCAAATATGTATTTACAATATTCACAGTGGACATAAAACAACACAGAAATCCTAGGCTGTTAAAAGCACAGTCTTTCAGTTCCATACCATTAAAACAGTCCCAATGTGAATGTGAGAAGTGTCCACCTGTGTATATACAATCCAAAGAGAGTGATAATCCAATAAAGTGAGATTCTGGAATGGTAAATCCACAAAGGTAACTCCTCAATCCAGACTTTTTTTTGTTTGGCATGCTGCTTGCTTTATACTGGTTTACTTCCTTATTCCTGTCATGTGATTGATCACATGCCGTGATTTGCTGTGACGACGCGCGTCATCCGAAGATGGTCCTCGAGAGCTTCGTGGAGTTGACTCTGGCGAGAAACGGATCGCCATCCACCACCTGCCCCGTGGATGATCTCGCCAGATCCACTCCAGACCCAGTGCCCAGCCCACCATCTCCCCACGGTGCAAAGCATCAACCCGAGCCCACTGATGATGGAGAGTCCATCACCGCCGCGATCAATGAGCCAGCGCAATGCCGAGCGACTGAGTGGAGGATCGCCCCGGATGTGGAGCCCCACCCATCAGACCAGGTGCGAGAGCCGGCGACAGTGCCCAACATGAGGGAGCAAGCCGTGGACGGTGAGAGCGCGGAGTGGAGCTCCGCCCACTGCACTGCGGCTGAGGATGAGCTAATTATACATCTGGGACTGCTGGACTTAGAAGGGGACCTGATAGACTGGGAAACAGATCTGGAGGTCGACTTGCCCCCTCTCCTCTCTTTTTCATCGCCGCTGGTCCCGTCCAGCCCTGAGGGGGCTCCCATTTCCCAGTCCAGCCGGGAGTGGGCTCTGATCCCCGAGGGCAGCCCTGAATGCCCGGAGGCTCACGAATGCACACAGTATGGTAAGGGGAGTAACATTTCCGTAACATTTCCGCCATCGCCTCAGGACTCCGCTCCTCCAGCTGCACCTCGTCGCTCCGTCCCACCGGCTCCATTGGGCTCCTTCCTCCCGCCAGCTCCATCTTGGTCCTCAGTCGCTCCGGCTCCGCCTCGGTCGCCAGAGCCCTCGGCTCCACCCTGGCCCCCCGGATCCTCGGCATCCCCCTGGCTCGTTGGCTCTCCGTCTCCTCATCGGGCTCCTCCGCCACCTGCTCCGCCACCGTTGGTCGGCCCCCTGGAGTCGGCGGCCATTCCTCCTCCATGGCTCCTCCCCCCGTCGACTTCACCGTGGGTCGTCATCATGGCTGTGGCCTGGGTCCTGCTTGGCTCCTCCTGCTCCAAGTTCTTCCTGTTTCCTCCCTGGCTCCTCCCTCCATCGTCACCTCCCTGGGCTCTGTCTGCCGGCCCCCTCCTGGGTGTCCGTCCTCCTCCTGAGCCTCCTCCCAAGTCCGCCCCCCCGTTGTTCTATGACGCAAGGCTTTCTGGGAGGGCCCATTGTTCTATGACGCAAGGCTTTCTGGGAGGGGGGCGATATGTCAGGGTCATGGACCTGTTTTGCTGTGTTTTGCCCCTGTTTCTGTTCCTGTGTTCCCTTATTTGGTCATGTTCCTGTCCTCATTTAGTTTGATTACTGTATTATTCCATGCACCTGTGTTCCCCTGATTGCCCTGTGTTTATAAGCCCAGTCTGTTCAGTTTGGTTTTGTCGGGTCTACTTGTTGGATGTCATGTGTTTCCCGTGTTCCTGTTGTGGATTATCCCCTGTGATTCAAGTATTAAAGACTATTGCACGTTTTCCGCGTCTCCATCGTTCCTCCCACAGCAAATCGTGACACACACACACACACAAAACACTTAAAATTGAATTTTTGTAAATCTAGTGTTCATTTGCTGTGTGGCCTCGCAATTTGCTGTGTAATTATAGCCAGCTGATAAGTAACTGGTCTTTGTGTGAATATCCACAAAACTGGAGGACTTTCTGTATACTGTATATAAGTGGTAGGCTATTTTAGAAAGGTTCATTTAAAAGATGAAAGGAAGAATTAGGGAGAATCAATAAATTATGAATACTGTATTTCTATAGTGTGAATAATATGCAATCACAAAATCAATAAAAAAGTAACTGTAGTGTGATTTTGAGTATTTTAAAAGGTAATATAATCTAATTACAAGCACTTAATATTTGGAATCTGATTATGTAATCCAGATTACATGTAATCATTTACTACCCAGCACTGATGATAGAGTGCCATCCCAGTGTCAGTTTTGTGTAATTATTTCATAAAAGTGTACAATTAAAATATTTTGCTATACATCTTAATTAGAAAGTTCAGATCAGAAGTGCTTGTCTTTTTTGCTGAGAGGTCTTAATCAAGCCAAATCTCAGTTGGACCAGGTTTGTAGGGGAGTACGGAGCACAAACTAGCACAGAGTTAGTTGTAACACACATGGTTTAAATTTCCACACATGCTAGCATAACAAAATTATGGTATTTACTAGTTGCCATATCAACACTATATAGAGTTCAAATCTTTTGAAGATATCAATGAACATTTATTTAACCATACCAAAAGTAAATTTCTGACTGAAGTAAAAAAAATGATCTAAATTTTTAGTATTAATTTAAAATGAGACAATTCTGCTATTATTTAATCTCCAATCTGTTATTCATCAGTTTAGATCAGTTTTTTAATGCTTCGATAACTAGCAGAAGCCATTAACCAGTTTTAAATTCCAGTTGTGCAGATGAGAAACGTGGTAACACAGCGTTACAATGTGCCCCGCTGTCATTAAACTATGCTATTCTATGACATTAGCGATATAATTTACACTATTTACTTTTATGAATTTCAATGAGAAACAGGTGAATAAAGACTGACAGTCAATGTTTAATGTTCAGAGATTATTATTTTTAGTTTTTAGTCCTTTAAAAAATAAATAGAAAATAAATCCCATTGTTTTATTTGAAAAAGTTAATTTTATTTTATTGACAAAATATTTTAGTTTGTCTTATATATTTTTTTCATTAGACCAGATAACATTTGAAGCTGTCATATGGTCATGTTACAACGTGCCCCTCAGATGTTACAATGTACCCCACCTACGGGGCATGTTGTCACATTTCACTTCCATTCTTTTGGGGTAAATAAAAAACATATAGGCCTGTAATTAAGTAACAACGTGACATATTTGTACTAGACAAGTGTGAAATTAATGCGGATAAAAAACTATACTCTGAACCCCATGTGGACTTTGAAAGTCAAAAGGTATTAGGTTGTGCCCGCTCTCCCCTACACAGTGAATATCATAAGTTTTTTCCACCACAATATCATGGCTATTACTGTAGCTGTTTCACTTTTTGGTTAAATTAGTGGCTAATTTGTATGAGTTAGCACAATCTTGTTCATACGTTTTGTACAGTGCTTGCGCCACAATGAATGATATGTTTAGGGATTCCTGTGGTTCCCCTGCTGTGTTGACACCTGTGTGAACTTGACTTCATATATTAATCACCTGCAGATGATCAAAGGGCTTAGAAAGGTGAAGTAATTTATTTTTAATGAAAGATCAAGCACAGTCGTTCTCAACTGGTTTTGAGATCCTGTCAGGACAGAACCGCTGATCTAGCATCATTTTTGTACTTCAGTCAAATGTAGTTTATTTAATTGTCTATATATAACCATCTGTTAGGGCACAACATTTTATTTTTTATTGCTCCCACAATCGCAGTGAAGAAAGGCAAGCATCCTGTAAACTCCTGGTGTGCAGGTTTCCTCTGTAATGAAATTGACCTTTCAACAGTCTCCGGCTCTCATCACGTCCACCTCCATTGATTCCTGTCTCTTGTGTTTGTTTTCTCCACAGAACCTCACTGAAATCCAGACGTATCTAAACATCCTGCACCAGATCAACCAGACTATTCCCCTCATGGCGAGCGCGTCCGTCTCAAAGGTAGGGTGACCTTGTGGCTCACAGCGCCTCGGGCCCTTGCTGACTCTCCGGGTGTCACATGCAATAAGAATTGTGCGGCGGTGGTGCCAGTGAAATTAGCGCGGCGCTCTGAATGTGCCCTGAGTGATCAGTCTCCCTGAGTGATGACACCCTTTATCTTCCTGCTTCTCACACGCTTCCTCACAGACACACTGTATGAGTGCATGTCTCACGTCTGTACTGCAGGGACCTAGAGGAAAGATCACTGTGTTTATGTATGCTTTGCTTTTTGGGATGTGTTTTTATGTAATTTGTTGTGTTTGTTCATATTTCAAAGGGGTCATGAACTGCCTTAGTTTTTTTTGTTTTGCACTGACCACTTACAATGTTATCAAGATTTTTGCATCAAAAAACATCATAATTTAGAAGTAATAGGCTATTTTCTGTCCCGTTTTTAACCCCGCTCATCAGAACTCTCTGTTTGAATAGGCGTGGAGGATTGTAGACTCGGAGATAAACGCCCAATGCTGTGATTCACAGATGGACGCTGCTGTAATTTAGGTTAAAAATGCTTAAATACTCATACTCAACGATCTATTTAATAGACAAAGCAATAGTGAGCATGTAATGACAACAGTTACTCACACTTTTACAAGTGTGGACAATACAAGACAGCATTGTCTTTTAATTTCAATCTTTCTGAAAACCCTGCGTCGAATTGTGCCTTGTTTGTGAACGAATCCATGGTAAAATGAAGTGAACAAAGGACCAAGTTCTTACTGATGCGGTCTGGAACTTCATTAAAAATAAAGTTAATCCACTCTTTCTTAACATTGGGATCAGAAGGAAGGCAATGCAAAGACTGTTTTTCCACAGTTTGGCACTGAACAGCGTCTTGTTGTTGGAGCATCTTTATCGTTTGGTTTCTGTGTAGACTTGCATTCACCGCTCTCTTAAACACTACATGCGCGAATCGGTGGTCGGGGCTAAACAGGCAGGAATGTAGAATCGGTGGGGGGGGCTAAACAGGTAGGGATGTATAATCGGTGGGCGGGGGTTAAATAATCGGTGGGCGGGGCTAAACAGGCAGGGATGTAGAATCGGTGGGTGGGGCTAAACAGGCAGGGATGTAGAATCGGTGGGCGGGGCTAAACAGGCAGGAATGTAGAATCGGTAGGTGGGGCTAAACAGGCAGGGATGTAGAATCGGTGGGCGGGGCTACATAGGCAGGGATGTAGAATCGGTGGGCGGGGCTAAACAGGCAGTGATGTAGAATCGGTGGGCGGGGCTAAACAGGCAGTGATCTGTGAGGAGACAGTGCTTATCCACACTATTACATTATAGCTGTCATTTTTGCAGACTGGCTTCAATATAAGCTGTTTTTAGACTAACGAGAAAGATTTTAGTTCTGAAACTTACAGGATGTTTTTATAGCAAAATTACCTCTTATATGTCAAAAGATCAAGGGAATTTTGGTTTCTCAGTTCATGACCCCTTTAAGTGAAGCAAAGCAAACTTTGCAGCAGTCACTATTAGTAGTCAGGAGATATGAGGTGGGCATACATACATGAAAATGTATTTAAACTAAAAATGCAAAATGCTGTGTGGAAAAAATTTATTTAAATACAAATACAATATTTTGTATTTTGAAAATACACAAAATACACGTGAAATTGGCCATCGTATTCAAGTATCCCTTTAGGCTGAAATCTATCTGGACCTGTTCTGAATGCAAAAGAAAAAAAAAACACAGACTTTCTGATGGTTTGGAGAACAATTTATCCCCATGTCATTTCACAGAATTATACAAAGGCAAACACATCAAGTATAAAAGCCTTGTCCGTTTAGGGAGGAGCGTATGCAGTCAGCAGGTCCGTGCCGTAGAGCCAGGTGAAAGTATAAACAAGGCTTCAACTGCACAAAACGCTTCCACTATGAGAGAAAGCGGCGAGTTGATTCCGCGGCAAGCGGCCTGATAGTTCACCCAAAAATGAAAATTACCCCATGATTTACTCACCCTCAAGCCATCCAATAGGTGTGTATGATTTTCTTCTTTCAGACGAATACAATCAGAGTTATATTAAGAAATGTCCTAGTTCTTCCAAGTTTTATAAAGGCAGTGAATGGGGGTAGAGATTTTGAAGCCCAAAAATGTGAACAAATCCATCATAAAAAGTGTCCCACACGGCTCCAGTGGGTTAATAAAGGCATTCTGAAGTGAATTGATGTGTTTAAGAAAAATATCCATATTTAAAACCTTATAACCCATAATCTCTAACTTCCGCTGATTGTCACATGCACGTTTACTAGAGAGTGGCGTTCCAGCGGATGATGTTGGCGTAGCGTAAGCTCCAGTGAGAGGTGATGAACGCAGAAGCACAGAAGAGAGAGCTGAACAAAACACCGGTCACAAATTAGAAGTACAAAATGAGGATTTGCAAAGAAAAATGTTGGAGGATTTCAATATAAGCCAAGAGGAGACGAGACTCCCAGTCTCTCACGAGACAAGCATATTCTCACAGGAGCTCGCACTACTTTCTACATCACCTGCTGGAACGCCACTCTCTTGCGAACACAATACAACAGTTAGCGGAAGCTAGAGATTACGGTTTATTAAGTTGTAAATATGGATATTTTTCTTACACAAGTGCATTGATTTGCTTCAGAAGGCCTTTATTAACCCACTAGAGCTGTGTAGAGCAATTTTTATGATGAATGGCCCCATTCAATGCCATTATAAAGCTTTGAGGAGACATTTTTTAATATAACTCTGATTGTATTCGTCTGAAAGAAGAAATTAATATACACCTAGGATGGTTTGAGGGTGAGTAAATCATGGGGTAATTTTCATTTTTGGGTGAACTATACCTTTAAGTCAAAAGTATAGGCCTACTTGTCAAGAGTTCCACTCCATCTCGGAGCGCACGCTCAAAAAACTGCCTGCCAACGTGCGAGTGTAAATCTGAATTTCCTTTCGTGGCATACTGTATCAAGTAAATCACACTCTATTACTCATTCGCCTGTGCCTCTTTTTCCACTCCAACGTTCCAATAATTCCTGCCCACTATAAGCTGCATGGATATTTTTTGCTTACCCCGATAGGCTTATCTACATAAACAATTTAGAAAAAGTTAAATCGATTGAAACGGCACGATATGTATTGTCATATCACCCAGCCCTTACATGCAGTAATGCTTTAAAGGGGTCATCGAATGCAAAATTAACTTTTACATGTTGTTTGAACTGAACTGTGTCTTGGCAGTGTGTGTACACAACCACCCTATAATGGTAAAAATCCACCCAGTGTTCTTTTTTTTTTAAATATTGATAAATCATGACCCCTTTCTAAAATCAAGCCGTTCTCATATTCTTGGCTGTGTGACATCACACAGACCCAGACCCCTCCCACGATTGTTGATTGACACTGCTGTTTTACCTTAGACCCGCCCTGATGAGCTGTAAACCGTCCGCCATTTTTTCGATGCCAGAGCAGGTGTAGCACCCTTTTCTGGGTACTCAAAGCGCTTTACATGAAAGCGGGGGAATCTCCCCATCCACCTGGATGATGCTACGGCAGCCATAGTGTGCCAGAACGCCCACCACACACCAGCTTATTGGTAGAGAGGAGACAGAGTGATGAAGCCAATCAGTGTATGGGGATGATTAGGAGGCCATGATGGTCAGAGTCCAATGGGCAAATTTGGCCAGGATGCCGGGGTTATACCCCTACACTTTTTTGAAGGACATCCTGGGATTTTTAATGACCATAGAGAGTCAGGACCTCGGTTTAACGTCTCATCTGAAGGACAGTGCTTTTTACAGTATAGGGTCCCGTCACTATTCTGGGGCATTAGGACCCACACAGACTGCAGGGTGAGCACCCCCTGCTGGCCTCACTAACACCTCTTCAAGGTGAAAAGGTAAAAAGGGTGTTGCTTTACACTACCAGTGAGAAATTTTAACCAAAGTATGTTATAGACTTTTCATTAAGACCCTAAAGAATCATATCAACTTGTGGAAAATGGGGATCCGATAACCCCTTTAAACACATTTGACAAGTTAGTTAATAAAAAACATCAACCGATTAACTATCAAAACTGATTGGTTAACACTATTTTTACCCTTGCTGGTGTTATTTTATTCCTTCATGATAACTGAATGCAAATCTGAATGATGCACTTTTTTACTTTAATCAACAAGTAGCTACAGTTGAACATGACATCCTCTCCTTATCTTATTCCAAAAAATGTGCTTATGCAATGCTGAATGGAGTTGTGAGGGAAGGGGAGGGGGCTTGTCTGAATGATTCAGGCAGTATTTTATGTATTTTGAAAATACAAAAATACTAATCTTAAATGTATTTAAATACAAATTACATTAGATTTTTGCCAAAGGCTTTAAAATACAAAATACTATTTTGTATTTCAAATACATATTTTAAATACATGTATGTGAAATAGTGCCCATCCTTGGAAATATTCCTATTCCTAAGAGCCTATTAAAATATAATTAATGAGCAAGATGTATGGCCAATACATGACATGTAATACAATTTATTTGCAACAGCTGAGATGTAAACTCATACACTGGAATTAAATGAACAATTGTTTGCTATGCAATATTTACTTAAAATGTGCTAAAAATAGCTAAAAAAAGCACAAACGTGTAGATATTGGAACACCTCAAGTGAAAACATTGACATTTAGTAGAGACCTTTGCTAGCAACCATGTACAGTATTAGCAACCATCAGAAACATGCTAGCAAACCAAGCAATTATACTGTCTCGTATTAGTATATAAAGCATACACAGTGTACAAGGAGAGTGTGAGTGGCGCATGCCTCTGCGAAGCTGAAAAGCACATTGCTAAAATGGGTTGCCAAGGCCCTGCTATGTGGTTGCTAAGGTGTTTGAGTGTTTTTTAGTGTGTTGATGTGTGGTTGCTATGGTTTATGAATGGTTGCTTACTGGCCCAAGTCAAAAGGTCCCTCTTTCTTCGTAAGTTTGTGGGATTGTTTTGCTCGTTTCATAGCCTGACAGGTGACAGTCTGAGTCTGCTTAGAAAAAAAACAACATTTTGAAGTATCATACATTCACATCTGTTGCACAAATGGTGTGGAGTGATTTATGAAATATAATAACTATAACAATAACTATATTAGCGTCCACACCATCGTGATAACATTCTGTTTATTATAGGCACGCTGCAGTTTTGTCGTCTGCCGCTTTAAAATGCTTAATCTCGTTAAAACAGGAAAGATTCTGATTGGTTATCAATGTTTTTTTATTATTATTATCATTTATCACTAATCAGCTGGCAGTGATTCCAAGTGATTCCAACGATATCGTTCCTCTGTGTCGTTAGGATTATAATCCATGGTGTGGACTGCACTATCCTCTTACAGTTAGAATTATATTTTATATAGTTTATTATATTTTCGTAATACTTATTTTTGGATGTTTGTTCAAAATACTAGCTCTTAGGCTAATAGCAAAAATTATAACATTTACTCAAACTAATTGTCCATGTGGTAATTAGTTATTTGACTGGGTGACAAATATCAAATTCAATCTTTCTTTCATGTCCATGACATTTTCTTTGCTTTCAATGAACAGACACAACCAATAAAACCTATGATAGCTTGAAATCTGGATTCTGCAGGTTTATCAGGCTACTTGTCATTATGCTTACAGTGGGTACGGAAAGTATTCAGACCCCCTTAGATTTTTCACTCTTTGTTATATTGCAGCCATTTGCTAAAATCATTCAAGTACATTTTTTTCCTCATTAATGTACACACAGCACCCCATATTGACAGAAAAACACAGAATTGTTGACATTTTTGCAGATTTATTAAAAAAGAAAAACTGAAATATCACATGGTCCTAAGTATTCAGACCCTTTGCTGTGACACTCATATATTTAACTCAGGTGCTGTCCATTTCTTCTGATCATCCTTGAGATGGTTCTACACCTTCATTTGAGTCCAGCTGTGTTTGATTATACTGATTGGACTTGATTAGGAAAGCCACACACCTGTCTATATAAGACCTTACAGCTCACAGTGCATGTCAGAGCAAATGAGAATCATGAGGTCAAAGGAACTGCCTGAAGAGCTCAGAGACAGAATTGTGGCAAAGCACACGTTTTTAATAAATCTGCAAAAATGTCAACAATTCTGTTTTTCTGTCAATATGGGGTGCTGTGTGTACATTAATGAGGAAAAAAATTTACTTAAATGATTTTAGCAAATGGCTGCAATATAACAAAGAGTGAAAAATTTAAGGGGGTCTGAATACTTTCCGTACCCACTTTATCTCTGTCTAATTTAATTGAAACTGTTTTAAGTGTAGTAACACTTGAACTTTAGTTAGTTGATGGCACAGCAATCACATCGAATAACAGATATGTTTATAAACAGTAAAGGAAAATGCAAAAAGATTTCAAAATTGACTACATTTAAATATGTAGTTCTGTCAGGACCACTATCGTCAAAGATGATTGACAATTAGCATACAGTTTGGATTGGCGGTATGGTTCTGTTCTGGGCATGCTAGGCGCATCCATGCAGCCTAGCATGGATGAAAGCAGGGAGAGCAGTGATAACCCCCCCAGGGTAAACAGAACAGAACCAACATAAATGTATTGCAGATATTGTTAAAGTTCAATCATTTTATGTACACATTTTAGAATTAGTCTGATTCAAAGGAGAATCAGAAGGCTGAATCCTGACTGACAGAGGAGGAGCTGGGGATGGAGAAGGGTAATTAGCTACTGAGCAATGTGAAAACTGCTGATAATACTGAGGGACTTTATATATGAATGCTTAGATAGATGTCGTATTCCCATAGGTTGATGGGGATCAGCTGAAGGTCAGCTGATGCGAGCTTGACTAACGTGACCTGCCAGAACTAATGCTACGCTTGATTTTTATTTCTCAGTTTTAAAACATTATCTTTTTAGCTTTTTATTTTTAATCAACACATTGATAATTGAGTCCTAGTCTTGCATATGGATGTCTTCTCTTAGAAAATACTCTAAGAGCATGTTTGACCTACAGTGTCGTAGCCCTTTTAGAAAGTCATTGCCTGGATTTGAAAATGTGACGTGATCCAAAGTGAAACATGTTCGACTGTATTGAAACCTGACAAAGGTCTTTTTGTAAAGTGTATGCTTATACAGTGTGCTTGTGCTGTCTTTCAATAATGTAAATGTCACTTGCTGTGATATTTGGCACAATGATGTTCAAATGTTTCCAAGTGCGTCTTAAGTGTCGAAATGGTTTTCACGGCCGCTGTATCATTCAGAGAATACACTTTAATAGGAGAGACTCACGTCAGACATTCATCAAATAATCACACGAAAAAAGAGAAAGCCGAGAGAGAATGGCCTAGGAATATACGCTAATACAGAGAGGATATTTTCATGCACGTGGCTAGTTACTTTTACTCAAAAGGCTTTTCAAGCTTCTCTCCACAGCTTCGTCTAATTCCTCCTCAAGCTCTTCTTTTTTGGACATGGCCAGTTTGGACTGGTAGTCCCGCACCACTTGGTCTATGTAAGGGGCACTCTGTGTTCCATGCAGCATGAGGGTCCACTCCTTCAGCACGCCGCTCTGCGGGGCTTCGCCCTGGAAACCCACCTCCAGCAGCCAGGCTCCTCGAGGGTCCTCGCCCCACGTGTGGGTGGTCATGAAGGGCCACTTGTCGAAGCCCACCTTGGCGTCGTCGTCCCGGGGTCGGCGGCTCAGCAGGATGGACTTGGTCCCCATCGGTGAAGTCATGTTGATGTTGAGGTCTCCGCGGCGACTGGCGTTGACGGTGATGACGGCCTGCACATGCTCCAGATAGCGCACAAAGTTGTCTTTGCCCTGGCAGGCATCGGCCGTGACGCTCAGCACCAGTTTGCTGCCTGACTGTATTTTGCTGCACAAAGAAAGAGAGTGAGATATTATAAAACTTGCATGTAATACTGCTGGAAAAAAAAGTGTAAGCTGCGACCGACGATGTCTAACTGGCTCATATGTGACCCTGAAGCACAAAAGCAGTCTTAAGTAGCACGGGTATATTTGTAGCAATAGCCAAAAATACATTGTATGGGTCAAAATGATTGATTTTACTTTTATGACAAAAATCATTAGGATATTAAGTAACGATCATGTTCCATGAAGATATTTTGTACATTTCCTACCGTAAATATATAAAAAATTCATTTCTGATTAGTAATATTCATTGCTAAGAACTTCATTTGGACAACTTTAAAGGAGGTTTTCTCAATATTTAGATTTTTTTGCTCCCTCAGATTCCAGATTTTCAAATAGTTGTATCTCGGCCAAATTTAAGTTTATTTGTTTAAGTATTTAAGAATAAACACTTAGCTTATTTATTCAGCATTCAGATGATGTATGAATCTCAATTTCAAAAAAATTGAACCGTATACCTGATTTTGTGGTCGAGGGTTACATATACAGACAACAGATTATATTTTATTAGGTGCACTGTATGTTTATGCTAAACATCCACGGATGAGCCTCAGGCGAGCTCTAGGCATCTCAAACCAGACAAGTGTCATGTTCTTCCATAATCACCTCTCCGGAGCAATGGAGATATGCATAACATCCTGATCTTTGGGGGAAAAAAGGCCATGTGGAGAAGATTTTTTTTTGTAGGAATCAAACAGCAATCATTCACAAACGTCTCCATTTCAATACTTATGTTATGCATTTTATATATATAAAAAAAGATCTAGTTTTGACTTGATGCTTTCAGCTATCAGTAAGAGTGCAGCACTCTCAGCACTCAGTGAAATGTGAAACAGACATATTTCAGAGTGTAAATGGATACTGAATGAGTAAAAACGTGGGATAGGACTTGTTTGTATCCATTAGGAATTTGTTTGTTACCTAGAGAAATAAGGAGGGTTTAACAAGGAGAGGAAATCTGTTGCAGAGCACACATAAAATAATATAAAAACAATGCAAAGACAGACATTTTAAATAGGCTGTTTACAATAACACAAGAAACATGCATTCTCTTGTGAGACAGAAGTATGTTTAACTGCACTACTAGGATGCTAATGCGTACTTCTTTTTCACAAGGGTTAAGAAAGATATAATGTCAATTAATATTACACACTGATTTTAAACCCTTCTGCAGACTTAAATCAGTTCAGAAAAAAAGTCTATGTGAGCTCGACCATTAGATGAGATGAATCTGTTCCCGGTGACATTTACAGAGTTCATATTAATTCAGCGAGATTAGCTAATAAACCGGTATGAATGTGAAGAGCTCCCTGGCCATAATGTACAGGCGTCAGGCTCAGGCAAATGCGTTTCACTTACAGCTACAGAAATGTCAAATAAAATAATTACCGAAATGAGCATGTGTGCAAAAGCTGGAGCTCTAATGCAAAGCTTGCGTTTTCATTTCAGAAACAACCCCACACTTCTGCCATTCTGAGCTACTGCCATTTCAATACAAGCAGCAAAACTGGGCCAAATATGGAAAAAAGTGATTACATGTTCCTATTTTTTCAATGGCGCACCCTCCTGCTGCCAACAATTGCTTTGACCAGATGATGGGTTTTTTCCCCTCCGTAAGGCTGCTTTGTTGTGGCCCGCCTCTGCTGACGGTTTTTGTGCTGCTGCGATGATAACGGCGCAGGACTGGAGCGAGCGAGTGTAAAGTGGCATTATCAGAGGCAGGTCTCCCAGCCTGGCCCATTACGCGCTCAGATTAGTAGGTGTGTTTGTGTGCGCGTCAGTCTTTGAGAGGCTAGTGTAACAGTTATTAAAAGAGCCAGGCGAAACGTCAAAGAAAACGTAAGATCCGTTGGCCTACTTAGCACTTAAATGTCAAAAGCACAGACTTTCATGTTAACCGGGTTTCTGGCAAAATGTTTTTCTTGCAATTCTAAGAGAAGTCTAAATTGTGAGATAAAAAGTCACAACTACCTTTCTTGTTTTTTTTGTTTTTAATTTCGTGATGGAAACCATGAAGTGCAGGAACAGAATTGTGAAATGTAAACTCTTTTTTTTTATCACAGTTTCGTGTTTATCTCAAATTTTTTCTCTGAATTATGAGCTTCTCACAATTCTGGATTTGTATCTCGCAACTAACTTGTTTGTTTTGTATCCCATGGCCTCCATAGTGATGGGTGTTATTAGTAAATGTAAGAAGAATACATTTCATTCAGAAAACCATTGTCTGTTAATTCATAACAATTTATGTGCAACAAATTTATGCAACGTTACGTTTATTATCTGTAAAAATGTTATGAAGACAAAACACTAAACAGTACATGAGGTCTATAAGGAAAAATACAAATAGGGTGTGAGTACCAAATCTGGATTGACTTATGAAAATTAGATTATCTGAACAGCAGTGACCTGATATTATGCAGATGTAATTAACAGCTTCGTTTATAACACATCAGTGAACAGGGAACTCTGAGAGACAAACTGAGCCATGAAACCAGTGAAAAGAAAAAGAGAAAAGAGAAAAGTTGACACTGTGGGACTGAAATTCATGAATGCTGTTATTGATAGCAAATAAGGAGGAACGTGAGCTCATGCTTTCGTTTTAATTAGAGTTTAGAACAAAAGGTGGGCCACTGGGTGTCATTTGCTGCTTGTGAATAGCTTGTTTTTTTCTGTATAGCTTTGTGTGAGCTCTGTGACAACTACTGGAATCAGCAAGATCTCCACAAACAACAGTTTATTTGATCAAAAACACAGAAAAAAAACAATAATACTGTGAAATATTAGCCTATTTCAATTCCTAATATTGTTTTTTATATATATATACTTTAAAATATAATATGCAGTGCTGAATTTCCAGCATCATTACTCCAGTCTTCAGTGTCACATGATCCTTCAGAAATCATTCTAATATGCTGATTTATTATCAATGCTGGAAACTGTTGTGCTGCTTCATATTTTTTAGAACCTGTGATACTGTCACAACTGCCTACTGTGGCGGAGACGAAGAGGATTAATATGAAACAGACCTTTATTTATCCAAATAAAGCACATACAGACAGGAACTCACGAGTAGGACGAGGGTTCACGTTCAATACAGGACAAAGACAGACTGCACAGACTCGAACGTAAATACACAGGGAAACGAGGATGATAACTAGACACACCTGGAACACATTGGAAAAAATTAGGACAGGAACAGGAAGGACCAAATATGGCATGGTAGGCGCGTCATAACATATCCACCGGGGAGGGGGGGTGGGCGCCCCGGAGGCTGATACAGGACAGACACACGGGAGGCCTCCAGGGCGGATCAGGGAGCTTGGGGAGCCATGGCGGATCAGGGGACCCCCCCAAATTTTCTTGGAGAAAACTAGGAATCCTGGGGTGTGCTCTGGAGGAGCGGGCACTTGTGGGCGCTCTGGAGGGGATTCAGGGACTGGAGCCCTCCTTGGGCTAAGCACGGGGACATGAGCCTTCACTCGGCTATACAAGCTATACTTAGCATACATAGTAAAAAAAAAGTACTGTAATGTCATTGAAAAGGTACAGAAACGATCATGTACTCTTTATCACATGTAGGTGAGAAGGTTGGCTGAATCCTGTAATGGCTCAGACAGTCACGGATTCAGGGAACTCCTGCAAAATCAATTAAACCTTGATTTGTCCCGACGACAGTGACACTTGTGATGTGTTCTGCAGTTAGTTTCATGTGTGCGTGGAGGCATTCATTAGTCCGTGTGGATAGGAGTCTCATCTCACTGCTTCCACTCATTACACTTCACTCACATCTCTCCTGCGCCGCTGCTTAATTGCTGTTCATGAATTGTGCCTCGTCAGGACTCCCACCAACCCTGTGTGAGGTATGATACGAGGGCTGACACTGTCGATGGAGGTTTTGACAAGGACACCTACACAAACAAGAGTGCGCACACACACACACTCGGCGTAATTGCGGCTGTTGCCATAGCACGCAGTGCCCAGCAGTGAGTGGGAGAGCACTAATTATAGCAGATGTGAGAACGAGCGGCCGAGAGCAGCAGAGTGAGTGTGGAGAGTCAGGAGGGCGACACATGCAATATGTCTTCACACAGAGCACAGAGGGGGTCAGAGCGGCCGGATAACACCACAATCACACACATGTAATGCATATCAAAACAGAGGCAAAATAATATTTAACACCAGTGTGAATTCTGAAATCAAAGCTGTATTAATTTCCCCCTCTGTTTTGATATGCATCACGTGTGTATGATGGCTGTAGCTTGTGTTTTAGGCACTCCAGGGCCTTTCACATTGAGCGTGGTTTAGTGATGTGAATGTACAACGCAATGACGTTCTTGCATAAAAACTATAGATCCCTATGGAGCCATTCACACCGGGAGCAATCAATCGCCATGCAACAAAGCAAGATTTTATTTTTTTCCACCAGCATGTCAAATATGGTCCCACTATATATTAAGTGGCCTTAACTACTATGTACTTACATTTAAATTAATAATTTGGTACAATGCACATTGTACTTGTATTTAAAAAAATGCATGCATATAATTGCATCTGTAATTAATTTCTGTAATTACATTTATAATTACACTGTTGACCCATCCTTTACATCTTAACCCACTCTTACACCTACCCATACCACCAAACCTGTCCCCAACCTTACATGTATCCCACCTCAGTAGCAGTAGAAGTGCTTTGCAATACAATATGAACACAATAAGTACATTGTACTTATTTTTTTAATGTAAGTACGTAGTAGTTAAGGCCACTTAATATAAAGTGGGACTGATTTGATCTTTAGATCACTTTGCTGTTGCACAAAAGAGCGAGACTGGTGGCGCTATAGCACAGAAAGCAGTTTTCAAAACCAGTGTAAACATAGGTGAAACATATTATATAATGTTATTACATTAGAAACACCATTCAAACATAATTTAGAAAATTATAAATTATTTTAGAAATTATTCCATCAAACTAAACATGAAATTGCTGAAATAGACAGACTGAAATAGTATTTTCTTTAAAACTTTGAAAAATCATCTCTGTTCAGTGTAGGATAATAATGATTACCAGGCAATGCCACAAATAGTTTCTAAAATGTACATTTATGACCCCACAATGAATATGGTCAACAGGATATGATGTCACAGAGCTTATTTTTTTAATAATTAATGCGTAACTTTCCCTACAAACCATCAGTGTGTGTTTTTAAAAGGTTTGTCTCCATAATCGCTTATTGAAATGTAAAGAGATAAAAAAGTTTGTCAAGAGAAACTTTAGGATGGCTTGAGAAAGCCTAGCCTGAAAGTTTAAAGTAGTTGTAAAAGCCTGACGTTTGAAAATTTAGATAGATTAGATAGATGCTGATAACATGTTTCTAGCATATTTAGCATATTTTAACATGATTAGCATATTGCTAGCATGATTAACAAGTAACTAGCATGTTGTTAACATGATTTACAAGTAGCTTGCATGTCACTAGCATGATTAGCAAGTTACTAGCATGTTGCTAGCATTATTAACAAGTAACTAGCATGTTGCTAGCAGGACTAGCAAGTGACTAGCATGTCACTAGCATGATTAGCATGTTACTAGCATGATTAGCAAGTAACTAACATGTAGTTAGCATGATTAACAAGTTACTAGCATGTCACTTGCATGTTTCTAGCATTATTAGCCTGTTACTAGCATGTTGCTAGCATGTTGTTAACATGATTAGCAAGTTAGTAGCATGATTAACATGTTATTAGCATGTTGATAGCATGATTAGCATGCTACTAACATGTTGCTAGCATGATCAGCAAATTACTAGCATGTCGGTAGCATGTTTCTAGCATTATTAACATGTTACTAGCATGATGCTAGCATGATTATCATGCTACTAGTATGTTGCCAGCGGGATTAGCAAGTGACTAGCATGTTTCTAGCATAATTAGCAAGTTACTAGCATGTCGGTAGCCTGTTTCTAGCATGATTAGCATGTTGCTAGCATGCTACTAGCATGTTGTTAATATAGGTGTGTTCACGCCATAACAGAATGCCCATAATTACGAGATTCCAACTTGTAAAAAGCATCCACGTGACCACTGTACCACCTGACCACTGCAGGCTCTGTCTCGAAATTATGGTAATTACGATATGGCGTGAACGCAGCATATGTTTCTAACATGATTAGCATGTAGCTAAGATAGATAAGACAGACAGACAGACAGACAGACAGAGAGATAGATAGATAGATAAGAGTCACAAATCCGGTCTATGAACTTCAATTCACTCACCACCAGAGGTCACCCTTCCATTACATCGACTCTCGCAGTACACAAACTGTTGCATGTCATCCCGGACTACATATGCCATCATCCATTGCACTGATTGCACACAGCACTGATTGCACACAGCTGTAACCAATCACACATTCACTATATAACACTCACTCAGATCCCTTTCAAACTGCCGTGTATTGTATGTGCATATAGCTAGTTGTGATAGCTACGTTATGGAGCCTACTTGAAGTTTCATAGTTTTAGCCTAGTCTTGCCTTGTCTGTTTCCTCGTGTTCTGATCTTTGCCTGTGCACTTTGGATTACCTCTCTCGTCTTGCCCTGTTTGGATACTGTTTGCCCCTGCTTGGACCTTTGCTTTGTACCTGGATTATCTCTCTAGTCTAGCCCTATTGGATTATGTTCGTTGTCTATTGACCCTCACTGTTTACCGGACTGCCCATGCCTTGTCTCTTACAAACCTGTTTGCCAATGTTTGATTTATGCCTGTTTCTGACCATGTCTCCAGAATAAAGCTTTGCACATGGATCCGCACGTCTCACATCTCGTCAGCCCCGTAACAGATAGATAGATAGATAGATAGAAATATTAGATTTTAAGTCGGATCAGTTAGAAAAGATATAGCAACTAACTTCAGATCAGTCTGAAGAGCTGGGCTGAGTTTGTAGTTCGTAGAGTTAAAGCTGTAGGAGGAGTTAGAGTCAACGTTTTTAGTAAGAAGAATAATAATAAGTTTAAATAGCATTTCAGTAAGTTGGCTTTCTCAAGCCAACTTAATAATAAGAAGCTTAAATAGCAGATCACTAATTACTTGCTCTGACTTTGTGACCTTGCAATGGTTTTTCTTTTCAGTTGACATCACAAGTACCTTTCATTTTTCAACCATTTGACTTCATTCTGGTATTAATATGCACTGCTCACAATCCAGTCAATTGACTCTATGAACACCGACTGCATTTGTGCTTCTGCTAAAAATCTAAAAAAAGTCTTCCTGGCATGTAACTGTTGGTCAAAAAAATATAATACATTGTATACTTCATTAGCCACAGTAAACTTAACATTTTAGCATATTATATTTAAACGATAAACTTTTAGTAGTTACAGAAGCTTTAAATACCTTTAATGTGAAAGTGGATCATATCGCTTTGTCCTGTTGTATAAAACTTCCTCAAGATTTAATTTTGTGCTTAATATTCTTACAATTTCTATACACTGCACTGCACTGGAAGTTGCGTTGGCCACTTAAGCGAATGCAAAAGTGAGTCAATTTCTGATGGATCTAACAATCCATTAAGTCACACTCCACATTTGTCTCCAACATCCTGTTCATACAGAAATATTACTGTTGGACTGCTGCAGTGAAATGGTTGCAGCAGCGTTTCTGTACAGTTGCAGTGGTTGTTTTTCTGAAGTGTTTTCTGTACTCACTCTATCTCCTGCACGGATCCAGCCACACAGTGGAATCGTTCCGGGACGGTCTTCCACTCCCGGGCCAGTTTGACCATTCCTCCGGCATCCAGCACGCCGTATCCGAACAGATGGTTGAACTCCAGGCCCACACCGTTCCTCCTCCACTGGTGCACCTCGTCATGCAGCTTGTTCCTCTTAGAGGTGAGGACCGTCAGGTGCTGCAGGTCCCTCCACGTCAGGTTCGGACTGCAGACAAACAAAATGAAGGAAATAAAGTCAAGCCTAAGAAAGAAAATCACTAGCATGACTGCTGTTTGTCATAAACTTGAATCATTCAAGCCTCCTTCAAGCTCCCAATTCTAATAGTTATCATATCCATTCAATATAAAATGTGCTCTATTGAGTGAATGAGCAAAGAGCACATAGCAAAGAGCACCTGCAAAGAGCACATAGCAATGCAAGAACAAAACCCTTACAGTTGCATATGGTTTCTCAAGAGCAATTTGCACAGAGCGCTAGGGGAAGCGGATGCAGACTATATACTGGGACCATTGATTCAAGAGATAAGACAGTAAGACTAAACTCATATATGAGGCATGAGGTTTATATTTTATTAATACACAGCTCTCTGGAATACTGGAACCCTTAGCGATGGTAGGAAAATGGCTTGGAGGTCTTCAGTATTGATTTTATGGTGAACTCTGATACATGGACAGAAGCTCAGAAGTCTCAAGTCAAATCAAGACAACTAAAACGAGGAGTGAGAAAAGCCGGATCAAGCTGCGGAAGCAGCGACAGCTCTTTTCTTTCGTATAGTCTGAGAGTAACGGATGATCAAAAAAAAAAAGCAAGGTGAGGACTTGATTCTGTGCATCGGTTGTTGATTGGATGTTGAGATGTGAGTGTGGCTCTCAAAAACAGAGGCGGAGTTTAAGAGCACTAAATGATTGGAGAAGTTCTGTTTGCGTCATTAAAGAGAAGTCTGTCATTTCACTGGAAGATCCAGCTATGACATTTTGATATTAAAAACATGAACCATGCATCGATGGACTTAAGGTGGGCGTACACGGTGCGATTTTTGCTGTCGTACGAGCTCGCAGGCTATTTTTTTCTCTCGGGAGAAAATCACAGATGCTCACATGGTCGCGGCTTGTACCGTGTGAGAAGAATTACGGGCCGATCCGAGACGATACGAGCACCTCCCGTCCTCCCGATAATTTTCAAACGTTTAAAAAAAAATCGGATGCTGTCGGTTTAAATTCGTGGCGTATGTGCGGTTGAACGAGACGATTTGGCGATCCATCTGAAGTTGACCAATCAGAAGATGACAAAAACCATATAGTCTATAATAATTTTAGTTTAATTATACAGTTCTATTTTTTATTTGTTATTCCGAATGTGCCAAATATGCCGTTCAGCTTTATGAATGAATATGCCTGTTGTATTTCCGGCAAAACGAGCAGAAATTCAGAAATGGCCTAGGCCTTCTCCCTCGAGTTCTTTATGAAGAACAGAAAGTCCATGCTTTTCTCTGCTTTTCAGCCATTCTCTTTGCCATGTCCTTTAGTCTTGGTTTTCTTTCTTTATTTATTTTTTTTGGACGTCACAAGCTGCCTGCCACAAAGAAAACTATTTCGTCCTCAGAATCCATATTTTTATGAATGGCGCGAAACGTAATGCTTACATCAGAGTTAGTAAAATCATAGTAAATTCGTGTCGTGTGCGATTTTCGGATAAACTCAATCGTGACATGTGCCAGAGCTCACGACGTTCCAACCTTCAGACTCGCACCGTGTACGCCTGCCTTTAATGTAACTTAATGTTGTGTTATTGTTGCAGTTTTCATCTAGTTGTTGGGTTAAGTGATTTCTGTGTGGTAATGGATTATTTTGTTGGTATGTAACTGTGTACTTACAGTGTACTTTAAACTCCCAGCCATATCAGGGCTGGACTGGTAATCTGGCAATCATGCAGGGACAGCTGCCCATTGGGTTGCATTGTATTGCTTCAACCCTGGAAATATTGGGAAGTATTGCAAAGTCTATAAACAGGCCAGAGGCAGGACACGAGAATAGACGCGCAAGCAGAGAAAGCACAGCAAGCTCACTGTTCACGATGCTTGAAATATTCAAAGAAAACCCTTAATACTATACTGGGGGTGGGAGTTTATATTAATGTATCGCTGAAGGGAACTGACTGTCGTCAGAAAAGTTTTGATGCCATTTTCTTTTCATCTCACCTCCATATAATGCTTATTAATGTAGCGTTAATAAGCATACCTCTGCTTTGTTTACAGCGATGACCAAGGAAACGCTGTATTGTGACTGTTGCATAAACGCCACCTACTGGCAGAGGATGAATTGGCATTTTTAGCATACTTTGATAATTTTGAAATGATACAATATAATTTAAATAAAAAGTAAGTACTCATGCATATTTGATTGGATTGTGATTAAAATGCAGTGGTGGTCTCTAATTTCAAATGGCTGCAAATCTTGTTCATTTACTTTTTCATTCTTTCTTTTCTGTTGGTTAAAGAAAAGAAAAAAACGACAGTCGGTTCTGATCATAGTGATCTGCCATTTACAATTTGTTTTTACATTTGGCTGAACAAAGAGACCTGCTCACTCACCACCTACATCATTATTTAGTACTGGGCAAACACAAAGACTTTACACAGGGAAGGCCATGTCAACAGTTATTAACACCAGTCCTGACACCGTAACATCCTACTGAAATGTGTGAATGGACGCAGAAATTATGTGGCAAAACGGCCTTTCCCCACCAGTCGCTCCTTACAAAGCTTTCTCAATCAAGTGTAATGAACACAGTTGCTGTTGAAATCACTGTCTGTTCCTCCACCTCGAGATCATGCTCTTCTGACTGCATGACTGTCCTTCTTCATTTGCACTTGTAAACTGTTCTTAATCTCAGTCTGTGTGTTGCTCATTTAGGGCTTGAATCTAATTTAAGCGCTTTGAGTACCCAGAAAAGCACTATAGAAATGTAAAGAATTATTATTATTATTAATTAGGATTTACCTTATTTTTTTTGCATTTTGCATTTTCACTTTGAGTTGAAACTGGTATTACATTTGGGTGGCATGTAACATGTACACAGACTTTTCCATCAACATTTTAAGTTCAAACTTATATGAATTTATAAAACTGATAATATAAAGGAGAGTGTGTAGGGAAAGTTCTGTGACTTGCATTTGCTGTCATGCTTGTATTTAAATAACAATAAAACTCAATAAAAGTCAGAGAATTTTGCCAATCAATGCACTACTCCCGGCTTCAGAAAACTGCATCCCTGCTTTGGCTTGTTAGGAAACCACATGGCAAGATTATTTACAACAAGGTGCTAATGTTGGTGTGTGTGTTTATGTGGCACATTTTATAATGAAGTAATAATAATAAGAAAACAATACAATATGACCCCTTTAAAAGAAATAGTCATAGCTAGTGATGTCAAAATTAGCACGTAAATGCAGGCAATTAATTTTTCTAGTTTAACAGCATTAACATATTTTAACCCAGGGATGGAGCTAGCATTGGCCACCCTACTCACAACTGCTGCTTGTTTTTTTTGTTTTTTTCTTGATAAGAATTGCATTTATTTAGACGCAGAACATCTTTATCAGCGACAGTTGCGAGTCAAACCTGCGTCACGTTCGGCAGCTCTTAAAGTAATAGCAGCCAAATAATCTAATAACCAGCTGCTGTGATGTCTGATCTTTTTTCAACAAAAGAAAAAAAGAGGAAATCAATAATTTTTGTAAATTTAAGGATTCATCTACAGTATATTTAATTTAGAATTTAGTGTTTGATAACTTTATTCCATTTCTGTATATTTCCTACTTGCTGAAGGGCACAGATAAATATGACATTTATTATAATGGGATTATGTGAAGATTGTTATTTTTTAAAAGTCTAATCTTTGTTAAAATTGAAAGCTCTCAATTATACTGTAATGTTGAATGGCTATAGTCAATAGTTACATATTAGGAAAAATTTCCTAGAAACATCAATAGTATTGATATCAGAGATACTCACCTTCAGTCATAAAAATGTCATTAAACAAATATTAAAAACATACGGTCTTTGTGTTGCATCTACATTAATTTGGGGATTGAATGTGAAATTAATTCAATATAAAAAATGTATTAATGTTAGGTGGGATTAATCACAATTAATTTCAGAAAAAAAATGTGCGATTAATTCGTTTATTTATTTTTTAGCGATTGACAGCACTAGTCATAGCTCTTTGTAGTTTATTTCAGTCAGTGTGGATCCCCTTGACATGAAATATCGAGTCTTGAGCTTCACACTCTTCTAATGAGTCTAAAGTGCCAGATGCAGCCAAATATGATTTGTTTTCTGGCATTCAGAGAAACATGGGGTAATAGTTGGCTTGAATCAAAAGCGACTTTCAATTTGCTTTTCACGAGGTGATCAGCAACATACTGGCCAATTTGATTCCTCATGAACGGCTGTAAGTATGTAGATATGAAGTGTCTCACCCGAGGGTCTCAGAAACGAACAGTGATACCCTCCTTTCCTCCAGCAGAGTAACGCTGCTGCTGCCAGAGTACAATCTCAGCCCTGATTCACACATTTATGCTGCTCCAGCTATACCTTTTCTATCCAGGTACTTATTTCCTGAACTTCTGACTGTGATAGACTGGCCATCTGTTCAGGGAGTTTGGAGAATGAATGGATGGCTGAATGTTACAACAGAAGCTGCTTATTAAGGAATAAAGATGCAAAATGAAACGACTTTGGGTGGAATATACGTTTTCAAATCGAGTAGTAAGACTTATAAGTAAAGGAGCGTGAAACAGCGTGTTTATTTGTATCATCATCATTCAACTCTCTAATCACCGGGAATGCAGCTTCGACTCTGGCATCAGCACCGTTTCCGTGTTAAAGGCTATCAATCATACATGAGGGAGGTTTTCGAGCGGGAGTTGTGCTTGCGGTGCTGCGCTCTGACACAACCCTCGTCTGCAGTAAACTACGATCTCAGCTGCCGTCTGCCAGCAACGCTGCCTTATTGTTTCATAACTCTTTGATAGAGGCTCACTACTCATCAGAGCTGAGCGCTGGAAAACAAAAGTGTACATACTTGGCCTCCAACGCCAGGGCAAACACGCCAGCGGCCTCAGGGGCGGCAGCAGATGTGCCCGAATGACGCAGTGTGCAGTTTCCATACAGATCCGTGGTGGCCTGGAGACAGATGCAGAAAAAGAGAAAGCCTTAATTTAACATTAGTGCCAATGATATCCTGATTACACTTCAGCAAACAGCAGGTGAAAAATGCCTTTGAAATTCTAATTCTGTTTTGAACTGACTTCAGAGGACGCAAACAGGATTAAATTTAAACTGTAAGAATGCATGAAACTCAGAGATTAGTTGCTGTTCTAAGAAAGTTCAATTAAATTTAATAATAATTTCATTTTACATATAAATATACACATGATCGTTTTATCATACGCACAACATATGGGGTATTTCCAAAAACATTAGATCATTGTATGAAAATATATAGAAATTTGTGAGCAATCTCAAAATGTATTTAATTCTAATAAATCAATCTTTTTTGACTATAGTGGAATACCATCATGGAGTCAAACCAACATGAAGCAACCATACACTGTAAAAAGTGATTTGTCAAAATAGTAAATACAATACATTTTTCAGTTTGCTACCTTAATTTTTTTTCATTTAATTCAACGTGCTTCTTGCTTTATCTTCGTAATTGTTAAATTAACTAGTCATTTCTAAGTTTTTTAAGTGTACAAGATGGAAACAGCTCAATAAAAATGTTGTTCTTGCTCATTTTGTTGTTGTGTTGGACCAATGAAATTCCTCTGTTGAATTTGTTCAATTGTTCGCAATTCTGTACATTTCCCTTCCTGTCCTGTTTGTGGCTCATTCACATTCCAGCTCATCGGTGGAATGGACGTCAATTCTTAAATTTTGAACTTTGTTGATCATTAACAGAACTTGGTTCGGTTGCGCAGTGAGGAAAACCCTACAAAATCCCAAAGCTTTGTTCGTCACAACACTTTGAGGTAATGTAGACTTTGGAGTTGTCTGCCATTTCATGATCTATCAAAGGCAGGAGATGAAAGAAACATCCATATTTACCCTCCAGAGATGGACGTTTGTACTTGAGACCAATTTTGACTGATGTAAGCAAACCTCACTAAAAGCAATGCGATGAATCAAAAAATTAATTATTTAGTGCTTTGTTTTATTTGATGTAGGCCTAATTTGTGTGAATATATTTGAATGAATATCATTGTGAAAAATATTGGTTAATACATCTTGTGTATTTCTACTGTTCAGCGCTCAATCAGAGAAAAGCGATAAACTGGCATCTCATGACACCAAACCGAAGCAGCCCTGATCACCCTGAGAGAATCAGGACTGACACTTCCTGGCAATTCCTGCCTTTCCTCTGACAGACTAACCACAGTCTTCATCTCAGACGCATTCTTTGAGTCTGGAGATACACTCTGATTAAGTTCCTAGCTCAATGCATCCCTCCGACTCCATCTGAGTCATTGTTCAGCCACAAAATGGATGAAACGATTAACTCCCCGTTATTTTATCACTGTCATACTCTGTATTATCACACTGTGGAAAAAGGGATTGTGTTTTAAAAGCATGTTTTAAAGCACCTATGACTTTGGCACACCAAATTGAATATTGCTGTAAAAATTTCCAGACTCAATATTACACAACTGGAACCGTCCTGAACCTATTTCACCTCAGAGAGATATATCCCACAGATGATTGCCTTTCACAACATCCTTATCATTTCTTTTTGTGATAAAAATAAGAAGAGTAAAATATAAGGAGATGATATAAAATACAAAAGTGGATAAAAGAAATAATATTAAAATAATAATGTCTGATAAAATAATAAGAATAAAAGAATAAATGTAATAATGTTGTATAAAGGGCATTATAATTAAATAAAATACATTTCATAATAATATGGTAATACCATTGTAATAATGTTGTAATAAATGCTATAATAAAAATTATATATATACAACATTGTGCTTTTAAAAATAGTAATCATTAAAACGTAATTTAGGGTGGAAAATGGCTTTGTTTGTGTTTTGCAAGTTTTTTTTTTTTAAAGGACTGAGTCGGTGCCCCCCACAAACAAACAGAATCTGTAGGAAACACCGATACACACACACACACACACACACTCACCACGCCTGCTTCAGGGTTTCGTTTACGGCCGTTGCTGAAGGTGGAGGCGAGGGTGGAGGAGCAGCTTTCATCGTAGAGCGCGGTGCGTCCGTCATTGATGGCCGAGTTAATAGAGATGGTCCACATGCTGGAGGCGTATCCGTCGCAGTTACAGTCGTCATAGCTACCACCGTCTCCGGAGGCCCACACATAGATGCTGCCTTTCCCACCTCGACCCTGTCGGACAGGCAAAAACGGCACGATTACGAGCGGCACTCACGCCTGCTACAGCTCAATAAGGAGCAGTCCACACTCTTTGATATTTCTCTTCAAGAGCCTTCCAGATTTACTCCATTTATCATACAAATTACACTCGCATAACCACGAGTAATTCAACAGAGACATCAGAGAGGCGTTTCAAGACCTTTTAAAGACTACAAGCTCTCCTCTTGAGTGTCGATGATTCAGGCACAGCCATTGTGTTTAAGGTTCTAGTCTGAACATATAATTTTGATGCTTTTAGCTGAATGCAACAGCGCTCTTTACTTTAGGCTTTGTGTTTTATAGTGGCAGGCACCTGACAGGAGGAAATTTGTACAGTGCAATTGTGATCTTAAAAGGGTCCTTGATTATTGTTATTTGGACAGTACGTGGTGTTTTACCATGCTAACACATCGAGGAGCGATTACGGTGCTTCCAGATCCCTGGGCATCAGCCTCTTTGGAGAAAACAAATAAGAAAATAAGATGGTGTCTTCACATTCTGCAATCGCTACAGAAACTTCTCACAATTTAGATTTTATATCAAAATGACTCATTCAGCATCTAATAACCCCAATCTTATGTTTGCTAAATGTGACATGCCGAGGGGCTAATAAAACTTGTTTGCTAATATGAGAAATAAAGTCTCAACGGTGTAATACAATAAAGTCACAATTATACACCACGTGTTTAATACATTGCTACGGTGAAAACAATTTAGACTTCATCAACCTCGAAGCTATGCTAAGGTGTTCAGGCATTATTAGAGCCGAGGAAGTGCATCTCATTTCTTCAACCCTGACTCACCGGAAAAACATGCCTGTAGCGCCATTTCTGCAAACTGATACGACTTTGCTTCTTGTGCGTTTTGCAACACGTTTAGATGTCCAGTGAGTGGTGCTAAAAGTGTATAGAGTTTATCAGAAACAGATGAATGTTTAAATGTTTTATTACATTGAGTTTTATACATATCATACATACATATCGCAGCAGTTCGGATCCGCTAAGAAGTTAAAGCTTTATCGCATTTGTACCAGCTACACTAAACCTAAGTGATAGTGTTAACAAAAGCAAACGTGAGATAAAAACATATTTGCTGCAGCAACCACAGCATTTTATCTTGCTTTGACTAGTCTTTGATCTTGGTTATTTATGGACTCCATAATGCATGTGCAGTGCTCTCCCAGGTGAGCTACCGAGCAAGTTTACTTCATCGGTAAAGCCATATATATGGAGCTGATTATATGATGCAAACATCCAAATTAGTTAACAAATTATGCACTAGTCTTTAACCCTCATTTTGCCCCAGATAATTTATTTTTCCCGAAAATGTTAATGTTATCGGATTAAGCAAAAACTTAATCTCCCCCCCCCTCCCCAGTATAAAAACATGGACATAGTGTCCGTGACGTCACCTTTTTCAGAACTTTAAGGCTTAATGTAATTTAAATAGATTAGTTATACAAAAATTCACCGGCCTCACAGTTGTCATGAAGGGCAAAATTAGCTATATAGACCAAAATAATTTTTTGAACCAGGCTGTAAACGTTTTTTTTCTGCTGTAAAGTTGGGTATTTTAACATGGGGAGTCTATGGGATTGACTCCATTTTGCAGCCAGCCTCTAGCAGCAAATTGATGAATTACAGTTTAATTCACTTCCATGTTGGCTTCAAGAGAGAGAGCGGGAGGTTGCCGCTTGGTGTAAACACAGCGTTTTCCGGGTTCTCTGTCTGTACGCTGGCCTCTACGTTTGCAGATCAAACATGATCTGAGGTGCGCTCGTCTGAGGCGTGTTTCATCTGTACGCATGCGTCATGGTCTGCTCGTGAACTCATGAACGCGCTTGCAGGAAGTGTCACGGAGGACAAGAAAAATTGAATAAAGTTGATATTTTGTTTTCTTCACAAAAAGAGTTCTCATCGCTTCATAAAATTCAGATTGAACCACTGATGGCAGATGGACTATTTTGACGATGTCTTTCATACTTTTCTGGGCCTTGACAGTGTTCATTACTTGGCAGTCAATGGGACAGTCACAAGCCTCCCGGTTTTCATCCAAAATATCTTAAATTGTGTTCCGAAGACGAACAAAGCTTTTACGGGTTTGGAACGACATGAGGGTAAGTAATTAATGACAAACTTTTCATTTTGGGGTGGAGTAACCCTTTAAAGGCACAATATGTAATGTTTTGCCGCTAGAGGCCGTGACTGAGTGTGGAATCATGGGATTTGTCATTTTCATCCCCACCGCCGATGCAATCCGACGGGACTCGAGCAGATGAGCTAATGTATTAAAGATTTATTAATGTCGTAGTATGAAGCAGGGTGAGGCGGAAAGCCGTCGTAACAAAACGAGGCTGCTGAACGAGCGTGACACACGGCTCGAAAGCATTGGAGCTTTTATTATGCCACAGTCGCCCGCTTTCGCTCCTTCCGGTCGTGCGTATGTGGGGTAAAGCAGCGGAGCTTTTATTATGCCACAGTCGCCCGCTTCCGCTCCTTCCGGTCGTGTGTATGTGGGGTAAAGCAGCGCTGTTTTATCATACTAGATACATTTGAAAGTTCTTTTATAATGCTACTCTGTGCGGTCGTCACCTGTCTAATAAAACGCATAACATATTAAAGCGTCTTTGGTGTTTCCATGTTTTCTAAAAAACCTAGGAAAATCGAGGGGTTATGACGTCATTGGCAGGCAACACAAAGACACTATGGACACGGTCTGTGTCACTAGTTAAAATGGCTTATTTCTCTGGATTTAAACATTCTTCGAAACATTTGGGATAATGTATGTACACAAGTCAGCAAAATATATAAAACTGTTCTAGTAGTTTTTGGATGTTTTAATAAAAAAATCTTACATATCGTGCCTTTAAATAAAATAGGCACTTTCACAAAATGTGTAATGCTGGTTATGTATTTTATTATTAGATTTTTTTGCTAGTCTAGCTGGTGGACCAGCATTGCCATAGTGTCCAACAGCAAAACAGAAACTTGTCAATCAAAGGTCAGCTGGTTAAATTAATTTTTTTTTGCTTTATTTAGTCTATTGACAGCATTTGTGGCAAGTTTATCAGCACAGAAAATCATCGGGACTGATCCCAGATTTCTTCCACAAAGCCATTGTTCCACAGGGTTTGACGCAGAAATGTGAAGACTGTCCTACAGGTAGGTCCACCAACATCAATTCTAGAGTTTTCTCCTCTTTCTTTTATCATTGTGTATAATTTGTGCATATTCATACAGTGTTACAAGGATATGACACTGAGGTTGAAAGATTGGATATATCTTTATATGTCTGCTGCAATGCCCCATGTGTTTCCACTGCTGTACAGTAACCACAAATTTTAACTGACAAGTCGAGATGATTTTCTGTGGTAACTGACATTTTGCCAAACATGCTGTCACCAGCAGCCAAACCGCAATGCTCAACTGTATCTGGCATTTCATTAGCACTCTGTGTGGCATCCTACAAATAAATAAATGAAGCGTACGAGAAGTGTTTGCCATCTGACCCTCATAATGATTAAACAGCTTTTAGTATTACTCCCAGGCTCAACGTCAGTCCTCTCCAACTGCAGTGAGGAAGCCTGAGGGACAGACGGTCTTCACCCATCACTGCTATTCTTGTCCAATCAGATTTCAATTGCAAAGGGCTGCTCAAAACACACAGCGATTACTTTGTGCGATGCCTCGGCTTGACAAGAGGAGCGCGCTCATAAATCCTGCTCAGCAGAGGAGCGCTCGGCGCCATTTATACCCATTAGCCGAGGCAATTTGTGAAGGCAGCAGTCACGGACAGGGAATGTGCATCTAAATGACACTTTTAGTGTGACGCGAGGAGACTTTGCAAGGTTGACATATGTGGGAGAACTCCTGGAGAGTCTTGAGGAGTCAAAGCTATTTTGTAATGAAGCTGCATGGATGCAACACATAGATGCCTTTGAATGCTTGTCGTCTGAATAAAAAATGATAGAAATGTTATTAGTACAAGACTGTAAAAATGCTATTGTAAATATCTGTTAATTAGTTAATGGTATGTTCCCTATATATCAGTGGCGAGCAATAACTATGCTTCCTTTTGTTTTTTTTTCTCATCAATTATGTACATTAGGGTTTTATGTCACATCTAATGTTGTTAAATTAATATTAATTGCATTATTTTAGTGGCATGTGTGTTCGCATGATGGCGTTTAGTATTTGTATGACACTGTGTGCACCTTCAATATATTAATATTCACCTCAACTCGAGTTGAGGTTTGATTCATCATGTGGCTTTCTCATCAGCACATGTTTTTAAGGTGGTTGCCTGGTTAAAACTGGATTTTTTTAAATAGTGTAGGACTATTTGTTCGGGACATATTACAGGAGCACTTTAGCATCATGAAGATGGTTTGGAAATGTGGAGAAGGACAATAATCAACGTAGCATTTGAAATTAAAGGGATAGTTCACCCAAAAATGAAAATTCTGTCATCATGTACTCACCCTCATGTCGTTCCAAACCTGTATGAGTTGCTTTCTTATGTTGAACACAAAAGAAGATATTTTGAAGATTGCTGGTAATCAAACAGTTGGTGGTTGCCATTGACTTCCATAGTATTTTTTTTCCCTACTATGGAAGTCAATGGCAACCACCAACTGTTTGAATACCAGCAATCTTCAAAATATCTTCTTTTATCTTCGACATAAGAAAGTAACTCATACAGGTTTGGAACGACGGCATACCTTGTCAGTGTTGTGCGCTTGCTTAGCCCTTTGTTGTGATAAACAGTAAAGTGTGTTCAGCTGAATTCAATTTCCGTTTTGTCAAACGGATATAAAAAAGGTTAGTACACCGCGGCAGCAATCGCGGCAGCCCTTGTGTGAAGCCCTCCTCGTGTGAAGACCGAAGAGTGCAAAGACCATCGACTCTACCGTGCGACTCCACAGTACAGGGACGCAGACAAAGGACATAAGTATTGCTTTTGACTCAACCTCTTTATTACACCTTTCTTCACTTCTTTATCAGTTTTTATGACCAACTCTTACTATGTGTTTTCATATCCCTAGTATCACTACCACTCGCAAACCAGGCATCACACACTATAGGCAGCGCAATCCTAACAACATGTGCACTTTGCCTGTCTGCTAATACACTACTTTATTTTTCTATCAGTCTCTGGAATAGTCAGTCTGCAGTAAACAAAGCAGATTTCATTACATCTATTACAAGTCATTCAAGACTAAAGCTCATGGCCCTGACTAGCAGCTCCTTTGAATCACATTCAGTCACTATTACCCACCCTCTTAAAATCCATTTTATAGTCGTTTATCGACCCCCAGGACCAATAGGTAACTTCTTGGATGAATACGATGTGCTGCTCTCAACCTCTCACCGGAGGATGGTACTCCCCTAGTTATGCTTGGAGACTTCAACATCCACCTAGATAAACCTCAGGCTGCAGACCTCCACACTCTGCTTGCCTCTTTTGATCTCAAGAGAGTATTAACTACAACTACTCACAAATCAGGCAACCAAATGGACCTTATTTACACACGACACTGCTCCACTGATCATGTGCTGGTTACTCCACTGCACACCTCGGATCACTTCCTCCTCACTCTTAACCTCAACATGGCTCCTGACACAACACATACCCCTCCACATGTCATCTTTCGTTGTAACCTACGCTCACTCTCACCCTCCCAGCTATCTGCTATGGTTTCATCTTTGCTTCCGTCCCCTGAACATTTATCATCTCTTGATCCTAACAGTGCTACTGATACTTTCTGCTCCACTCTTACATCTTGTTTAGACACTGTCTGCCCCTTGTCTTCCAGGCCAGCCTGTACCACCCCTTCTGCCCCTTGGTTATCTGATGTTCTCCGCGAACATCGTTCTAATGAAAGGTGTGGCGCAAATCAAAAAATACTACTGACCTTAATGTGTATCAGTCACTCCTCTCTTCCTTCTCTGCTAATGTCTCCACTGCTAAAAGGAAATCCTATCATAACAAAATTAACAATTCGTCTAACTCTTGCATACTCTTTAAAACATTTTCCTCCCTCCTTTGTCCTCCTTCTCCTTCATCAACTCTAACAGCTGACGACTTTACCACATTCTTCAAAAAAAAGAAAATGATTTTCCTTGAAACTAACTAGTAACGTATCTGCCACTGCCATTAGCCCTTGACCGGCTCAGACTACAGATTATGGTGAGATATTTGAAACAGCAATACCAAGAAAGGTTACTCACTACAATATGGTGCAAACACATGCAACATTTAGGATGCTTTTGATATCAAGTTTTGCTGGTTAGCATTGTCCTTGACAGGGTACAAGATGACCTACAATCGAAAACATGAAATTTCTGAAATTGTTTTGTTCAAAATAAATAATGGTAAATTAAATACTAGGAAATTAATATAAAATAGGAAATATATAACAGTTCAGTTCAAATAACAACAACAAAAACATTAAAATAGTCCAATAACTGGTAACTTAAACAGGGTTCATACTGATACTGCAAAATAAAATTCCAGGACTTTCAAGGACTTGCACTACTTTTTTGGTTTTCAAGGACTAAAATCAGATCTCACTTATCAATCAATATTGTTATTATCTTTCAAATTCTAATAAATAAACTAATAAAACAAAATGGTACAAATAAAGTGCAGCACATGCAAAGAATGCAATGACTGTGGCAACTTTAACATTTGAAAGGATACTATGGCAAAGTTATCGCTTTCCTTATTCAAACTGATTTTTTTTCATGAATATATGATTGACTTGAAGAATGAAAGCCTAGAAATGCAAAATAAGCCGAAATACTAACGGCTTGTTTTCTTAAAAAAAACACTAACACTTGCTTCTCAAATCTTTTTGCATTCTATTTGTTTTCTTTTTATTTATTATACAATTAACAAAAGCAAAAAAGGCCTCTAACACTAGCTTGCTCTATTCTTTTTCTATTCTGTTTTCATTTCATTTATTATATGATTTTAAAAACCTTGCTATGTGTACTGCATTAAGCTAACTGATACTTGTTATAGCACTTGTGTATCATTGCTCTTTATTTTATTTTGATTGCTTCCATTGTCCTCATTTGTAAGTCGCTTTGGATAAAAGCGTCTGCTAAATGTCTAAATGTAAATGTAAATTTTCTGAAGTACAGCATTATTTGTCCAGGTGTCTGGTGTTAAAGTTGATCTAAAGTGGCAGAGCGAGACCAGGAAGACTCTGAACTCTGGGTTTTTTTCCTGACTGGACCAGATGTTACAATTCTGTACCTCTGTATTTCCTCTCTTTTTTTCTCTCTCTCAGGTGATTCACAAGGGAATCAATTTAGCTACGCTTATCCTGTAAGAAATCTCAGTGGTTATTAAGCATGAGGTACCTTGTTGACTCCGTCAGCCATGGCCTGCAGGGTGAGCTCACGTGGGCCGTCCACCGTCTTGCCGTCGTCGGTGGGGCCCCAGCTGGCGCTGTAGATGTCAATAACCTGTGGCATGTGGCTAATGGACGAGGCCTCGATGATGTCTGTCATGAAGGGCTGGTCCAGCATACGAATGCCTGTGAAATGGCAGGATTGAGAACATGGGAACAGCAGTAAAACCCTTGATGTTACTCTATTGATGCTCTGCGGTGATGAGTGCAGGGGTGAGAGGGCTTGAGATTCACTGAAGATAATGGCTTAGGTGCTTCATCAAGCACAAATGCGATTTCACCTTAACTTTGATTTCTCTCTCGTCCACAAAACCTGCTGAAAGTGACCTTATGCTGGACTACACTTACAAAAGTGTATACTGCAAGTTCATTTTATTACACAAACTTAAGTAAAGTTCAAGTATTCCAAGTAAACTTTATTTAGTAAGTGTACTAATAATCAGAAATCAGAAATACTTTATTATTCTCCAGAGGGACATTAGGTATCATTGATATCATAATATCATTGAGGTATACTTGTATGTATGTCAATACATATTGGGACTCAACTGGCTTACTTTTTAGTTTATCAAAGTATACTCTTCAAAATATACTTGCCTTAATTCTGGCAATTATACACAAAAGTCTAAGCACACTTGGACTATACTTAACCTTTTGATTGAGATATACTTAAGAAATGTATAATTAAGTATTTGAAGTATACTGTTATTAAAAAAACAAAACAAAACAAAACTTAAGGTCAAAGCTGCATCCCAAACGATACACTATACACCATGTATCATTACAGTGTGTGCATAATTATTAAGCACATTGATATTCTAAACATTTTTTTTCCCAAGCACATTTTACCAATTCCAAACAACATCAATCTTAATAACTACTATTACCAGTCAGACATCACATATTTCTCAATGATTTCACATTTCACAATTAGTGTAAATAGAAATATAGAACAAGCTAAATATAAATGTAGCGAGGGGGGCGTGGTTTAGCGGAGTCTGCAGCGGGAGAGAGAGGTCGGAGACTAGAGGTGAGTAAGTAGGTCAAGTGCAAAATGACATTCACCTGTTTCTCATTTCAGTGATTGGCCTGGAGAGACCATAAAAGGCCACGGAGAAACCCAGTGCTGGAGAGAAAGAGACAGACTGAGGACTCGTGGGGAAAAGACTGGTGCCTGTGAGGCAGCGAATCAACTAAGTGCTGTTTATTTGAAGCGCATGTTTGTTTGGAATTGTGAACCAGTTAATTAAATTACCACGAGCCTCAGTCACTCCGTCTCCGACTTCTTCCTTCCTTTCCTCGAACTTTGTTACAATAAACATCCATAAAGCCGAGAACACTACATGACTGTCAGGCCGATTATGAATGGGATTTGGTCTTGATGACGAATCATGCTCAGTCAGACAGGGTCTGTTCCAGTTGGGCTCCGTCGCTGTTTGCAGTCGGCAGAAAAAGTCACAGTTTCAAAAGGTGTCTAAAGATTATACCCAGATAGCACACATACGTCTGCAAGATGTCTGTTAAAGATCACTTGATCTGGAAAGCATCTGCTGTGTACAAACATCTGCTAGACGTCTGTAAGATGTCAATTTTACATACATTCTAAGTCATAAACATCTTAAAGACATCTAGTAGACATCTATTTGACATCTGATAGAAAACATCTTATAGACGTATTGCAGATGAGCAAACACTGTAAAAAATACGTCTTGCAGATGTAATGCAGACGTCAAATAGACGTCTCCGTGATGTATGTGTGCTATCAGGGCAGTTTCAGAATTCAAGAATCAATTGTTGCCAGTCATTTTCCCAAAGATTTTTTTTAACATGTTTAATATTTGCGACTGATGCCAGCGATTGTATGCGGCTATGCAGTGGAGATGCGTTCACTGCAAAACATCATTCTGCAGTCATTTTGTAATTTTGTCAAACATTTTCTCGATTACAAGAAAAATCTTGATTGTTCTTGTGATTTTCTTTCTTTTCTTTCTTTTAATTCATAAGTTAACACTGCAAATTAAATGGTTTCAGGTTTTTTTTTCTGCAGTCGAAGAAAGTATAGCCTAAATTATGTCAGTGGTTTCTCTCATTTTAAAGATTATCAAGTATACTTTTATTTCGATCTGCAGTCTAATAAAAGTTAAGAAAAAAAATGTACTTTTAACTTCTTCTTAAAATTTGTTACGAAGAATTTTAAATCAACTTCATAATAATAACCCCAAATAGCCTAGACTAATGAATTTTCTTCATAACGAATATACGAACTTAATGAATAGCTTAGCTGTTCTTCAAAACAAAGTTTTCATGAAAAACCTGAAAAATCCTGAATATGATGAAATAAAATGATTCTATATATAGATATATTAATTACGCAAATGCGATGACGAAGGTGGAAGTAACGAATGTGGAAGTGCAGAGGAGAGAGCGAAACAAAACACCGGTCACGAATTAGTAGTACAAAATGAGGTTTTGTAAAGAAAAATATCAGAGGATTTCTATATAAGCCAAGTGGACACTGGTTTTCCTTTGCTGTAAACAAAACTTGTTTCTCGCGAGACTAGCATATTCTCACCGGAGCTTATGCTATGTCTACGTCATACATCATCCACTGGACGCCACTCTCTCGTGAACTTGCATACGACAGTCAGCGAAAGCTAGAGATTAAGTTGTAAATATGGATATTTTTCTTACAAAAACGCATCACTTCGCTTCAGAAGGCCTTTAGGCCAGAAAGGGAAGTCGTGGCCTAATAGTTAGAGAGTCGGACTCGTAACCCAAAGGTTGTGGGTTCTCACCATACTTGGCCACATGTCACGTCCCTTTTTCACTTTTTATTAACCCCCCGGAGCCATGTGAACTTCTTTTATAATGGATGGGTAAATGTTTTTTGGATGACTTCAAATTTTGGGCTATCATCCACTCCCATTATAAAGCATGGATTAGCCTGGACATTATTTAATATAACTCCGATTGTATTTGTCTGAAAGAAGAATGTCATATACACCTAGGATGGCTTGAGGGTGAGTAAATCATGGGGTAATTTTCATTTTTGGGTGAACTATCCCTTTAACGTCAGTTAACTCAGCGTAACGTCTCTGTTCCCTCCTTCAGGGAACGAGGGTTACATACGTAACCGAGACGATAGCCTTAATGAAAACCTAGTCCAGAGCATTCAGAACCTCAGACTGTGCAGAAGGTTTACCTTCCAACAGGACAATGAACCTAAACACAGCAAGAGTGGCTTATAGACAACTCTGTGAATGTCCTTCACCCAAATTGGCCTGGAACCCAAATTAAATATTTCTGGAGGAACCTGAAAATATGCGTCTGCCCACATCCGCCCTGACAGAGCTTGAGAGGTGAAGAGGCGAGCAGAAGAATGACAGATAATTGCCAAATGCTGATGTGCAAAGCTTTTCGCATCAAACCCAAAAAGACTTGAGGCTGTTAAGGTGCTTCAGCTAAGTAATGAGTTATACTTATGCAACATACTTATTTCAGTTTTTTTTATATATACATTTACAAAGTTGTGACAGTTCTGGTTTTGCTTTGTCATTATGGTGTATGGAGTGTAGATTGATGTGGGAAAAAAAGTAATTTAAAGCAGTTTAACATAAGGCTGCAACATAACAAAATGTGAAATAAATGAAGGGGTATGAATACTTCCGCAAGGCACTGTATATACATGCATGTGTGTGTATTTATATATACATAATAAATACACACAGTACACATAAATATATTAAGTAAACAAAAACTTTTATTTTGGATGCGATTAATAGTTTGACAGATCTATTTTAAAACATCTATTTCTTTATTAATACTTAAGTGTTTACATTGCAACACTATTGTAAACCCTGAAAGAGAATTAACTTAATGAATAGAAAGAGTCAAGAGCCCAACTGAAGCAAACACTGATCACAATAATGGTGATTTGTCAAAATTTCAACATTAATTGCGGGTGCAAAAGTGATATTAATTTAATGCTATTAACATTGACAAATCAACTATTTTTAACATTGATTCAATGGTTTTCACCTGCTCGCTTGCTATCTGGGAATCTATGTATGAGAACTGAAAACTACAACGGACGGCAAGACTTTCAGAAAATAACCACAGTTTCATTCTGTTCCTCGTCAAAACAAAATGTATATTAAGGTTAATTAAGGCCATTATTCGGATAATTTTGTTTACTTGCTCCATTGCGAAATATATTTCCTTAAATGTGCATATTCAGAATTTGTCTGTATCATGTAGCATCCAAAAAAGGCTTTTGTATGGACAAATTATTGAATATTCCATTACAATGGCAAAAAGATGTTTACCTTTTAGATTTCTAAATTAAACTGGAATATTGGCTTAACTGGGGAATATTCATAGGGTCAATACGTTCACGACACGATGAATTCACGATGAATTCATGTGCATGTAATTTAAGTTATTGATTCTGACCCTTGCCCTACTTAAATAACAACCCTCAAACGCACAAGACGAGCTGCTAAAGAACAGAGACTCCTCAGGAAGAGCCACAGCAACGTGTCCTCCTCCCCTGCACTCAGACAGACAACGTTTCTATTTATACATAAGCGTCTGATTATGCTGTGAGTCTGCAGCTCAGATGATATTACTGCTGCTCTCAGCACACGCCCCAGCATGCTTCACACCCCGCAACCAACCCTGGAAAAGCACAAGAGCCACTTGTCTTCCTTCTATTAGATTCCGTCTGTCCTTGATGCGCAGCGTTCAAAATATCAATTATGCCAAGGTTTATCTGTAGTATCTTTCCACAAATACTGTATTCAGATTTGTCCTCGGAAATTAATGCAGGTTACGTCATTTTTGTGGTAACTGGGGATGTGTGCTGCTATTTTCACAATCAACCAGTCTGAGAACGACTACCCTTACCAAAAAGTAGTATACTTCAAGTTTATTTTATTAAGTACACTTAAGTAAAGTTCAAGTGTATTTTTAAGTATACTTTATGTAGTAAGTGTTTTGATGCTGTTTTATGTCTGATGATGGTGTTAGATTACATGTGGAAGCGTCTGTTGTTTCGATTTCTTCTTCTCTTGTGTTTTGGAAATTCTGTACAGAAGATGTGTACTAGCGCCCTCTACAGTATAACAATGAAAACATTCTGTGCATGCAAGCACAAGTATAGCTCTAATATATTTAGACTTTTTCTAAGTATAAGTCAAGTATACTTAAATGTCATTTAAGCATATTTCTGAGAAGTACACAAAGCCCATGTCTGAGAAGACATACAATTAAGACTGAAAGTATACTTTCCTATTTTTTTGTTTAAAAGAAGTATACTAATAGCACACTTGAATAAACTTCTTTTTCGTAAGGGTAACCAGTATTAAGAAAGCCTTTTATAAAAAGGCTGATCACCTGACTTTAATCTCATTTTTTTTTTGTCTTGCGCCTGAAGTTTGATCATGAATACAGCTTTTATAATAGCACAGGTAAGAACTAGAAAGGCACAGATACCATCACAAAACAAAACATGTACTGTCCTTTAACTACTACTGTAAGAATTTCCATAAAAGCACAGCAACTCTTAGCATTTGTGTCCATGTGTCTTTGGCACAATGAGTGTCTCTGAAGGTGTGATGGCGTGCTGTTTGAGCAGTGCGGCACGCTGAAAGAAGGCTTGCCAATCTTCGCTGACCTCCCTCCTGTAGGGCACCTTCTGTCCACCATGCATACTGTACAAATGCAGGAGAAATATCTGCCTGCTGCACAAACCTCCACAATAAACAGCTCTGCAGCCAAGCCAAGAAAAACATCTACCCTGTGCTTTTGGATATATTTCAGTTTTGAACAGGTTCATAGCTGGGAATTCTGGCACTCTCGAGTGGATATTGCTTTTTAATTAGGTTTAATCAGGCTGCTGTGGTGAATATAGCACGAAATATGCCTTTACAGGAGCAGGAGAGATTGTGCTTAGGTGATGTGAATTTGAATCGGTTAAATGGCATTTTCCAGTCTCATTTCTTATTTATTTAGCTTAATATAAAGAGACAACTACAATCCATCCATAGTAGGTTGATTCCTGTGAAAAGTATAACCGTTTTGGCTCTGCATCACTACATATGTATTATTGTTGAGAATCCGAAACACTGGCTCAAGCAATGGCATGAATTTGGGGTGGGACTATATATGTGTCCAATTAATGCCATCCAAGATTAGGATGAGTTTTTGTTTCCTCATCATATTTGGAGAAATGTGTCATTCCATCACTGTCTCAGCAATGGATGCTCTGCAGTGAATGGGTGCCGTCAGAATCAGTGGTGTATTGTAACAAAGTAATAATACTTCATTACAGTACTTAAGTATTTTTTGGGAGTATCTGTACTTTTACTTGAGTTTTTATATTTCTGCCAACTTTTACTTTTACTCCACTACGGTTTGTTATTCTTACCCAAAAATACAAAATGGAAGAAAGAGTTCAAATTTAACACAATCTTGCTACTCAGGCTGTGTATAAAACATTTATATATATATTTATTTGCTTCTTTTCCATTTTGCATTTACTTGTACTTGGCTCAGACATTTAATGAGAATATATGGCACTCTTGAGCAGCGAGGGTCAGAGTATGTTCAACTGGGCCATATTTTATGGTGAGATTTTTGTTTCTTTCTTGTCCACACTCCCTCACTCACATAAACATCTCTGATTTGTTCAGTTTCAGCATGTGCAGCAGAGCAGACGGCCAAATGATTTATTCAGAGAGAGAGCGGAGGATGGCATTGATTTAACTATTAAAACTATTTGCATCACACAGAGCATTAATTAACGTTTATTGTGAATCAGAATCTCCTGATTACTGAGTGCTTCATCAGAGTTAGCAGTGGCTCTGGTTTAGAAATGTGACATGAAATGATGGCACACTTTTGCTCTTAATCTTCACCTCTGGGCGAAGGGTTTTGATCAGGCTGCGCTGATAAGAGTGCAGAAGGAAAGGCTCGGCGCGCTGTGTTAATGCAGCTGGGCTGAGAGCCAGTCAGAGATGACTTAATGGGGCTACGTGTAAGGAAAATCAATACAGAGAGGCAAGGAGTCCTTCATCCAACCACTGCTGAGAAACACAGTTGCAGGTCAATGCTCTGCCAGCCCACTGCCGGCTAAATCCTTCAGCACGCTCGGAGTAATCTTACATCTTATAAGACATGTAGTGTACGCTAGTGTTCAAAAGTTTGGGGTCAGTAAGATTCTCTCTCTTTTTATACTTTAAAATATATAGTATTAAAAGTACAAAAATGATATTGATCAAAGGTAACCAAAGACATTTAAAATCTTACCAAACATTTCTATTTCAAATAAATGCTGTTCTTTTGAACTTTCTGTGATCTGTGAATCCTGAAAAATAAAATTGATCAAGGTTTCCACAACATATTGGCCGTCACAACTGTTTTCAACATTGATAATAATCAGAAATGTTTCTCGAGCAGCAGATCAGCATATTAGAATGATTTCTGAAGATCATGTGACACTGAAGACTGGAGTAATGATGCTGATAATACAGCTACGCATCACAGAAATACATTACAGTTTAAGTCATTTTAAATTGTAATATTTTTTTCACAATATTACTGTTTTTACTGTATTCTTGATCTGATGAAAACAGCCTTAGGCTATGTTCACACTTGACGTCTTTTTTTGAAGCTGCCAGCATCTGTTTTACATTATAATCCTATGGAGTTAACCGTGTTTATCCGTGGCATCTGCAGCTCAGAGCGTCAACTTTTCTAAAAAAAAAAAAAAAAAAAACTTAAGAAATTCTGGTTTGTCTTAATTTTTCTGTATTTTATTTTAATGGTTAAATTTTGTTTTAGTAATCAAAAAGCATGTCTTATTAATAAAAAACATGAAACTTACACAATTTAACAATTATTTATTAAAAGTTTACCCCCCCCCCCACTTTACAGCCTTAGGCTATGTTCACACTTGACGTCTTTTTTTGAAGCTGCCAGCATCTGTTTTACATTATAATCCTATGGAGTTAACCGTGTTTATCCGTGGCATCTGCAGCTCAGAGCGTCAACTTTTCTAAAAAAAAAAAAAAAAACCTACGTCAGGAGCTTTTTTGACAGCTGACCAATGACAAGTGAGTAGCGAGTCATTTCCCTAACAACAAAAACATCAAGAAAAAATGGAGAAGATAGATGGATCGTACTTGTTTCAGAGCACAAGGACTTGTTTGATATGAGCACAAATTCTATCTAGTCTAAAATATAATTGTTATTATATTAATAATAAATTGACTAAATTGTTGTAAGCACCATACTGTTTCCTTCCCCATATAATGTCGCACACCCACAAATTTAATTGTGAACTGACATTCTATTAACTTCAAAAGCCAACGCAAGAGCCAACTTTTTACTCTTTCTCGACATTTTCTGCAGCACACACTAGGCTACTGTTACAGCTGTTCTTATAGCAATAAAAGACGCCCTCAGCTGCTATTTGTAACCAAAACACTTCCAGCTTTTTATTTTACTAAAAAAGCGCTCTTGTCAACTTTTTCTTGTCAAAAGAGATGCCAAGTGTGAACACGCCCTTATTGAGCAGAGAATAGCAAGAGACTTCTTTCAAAAACATTTAAAAAATCTTACTAACCCCAAATTCAATGCTAGTGTAAAATAAATAATGATGTAGTGAATATAATGAATATAGAAAGTCATGTAGAGAGAAAGAGAGAAAGGGAGTATTATCTTAAAGTTAATTTTGTATTGATTAGTTCATATTTTTAATTTGGAAGTTGAAAGCATTAAAAAGGCTTCACAATATGTGTCACAAGTTTAAAAAGAGACAAAAAAAACGTTTGATTCTAAATTCCAGCTGGATGAGTCACATTCAAAGCTGTAAAATAGTAAATATGCAAACCATTGCATAAACTTTGCATTGTGCCCACTCCACATTTTTCACATGACTACATGTTTCTTGCTACTGTCACATGAAGATCACAAAGTTGTGGCCACTGGTATGCAGTCAAACACATGCAGCACATCCGAATGCAGACATACTGGCCAGCTCCAGAGCTGAGCTCCTCACCTGTTGAACCAGTCGTCTGTGTAGCGCGGGTACGGGTACGGGTCGTTGCTGCTGAAGTCAAAGCTGGCTTCTGCGTTCTGAAACATCAACAAGAAATACAGCATCCGTCATCACGCGCCGCAGACTTATGAATTAGTGCCAATTATGTCAAAACAAACAATGAGCCTATTTCAATAATTAGTCATTCATTATTTTGAAACCAACTCTGGAATTTCCATTGTGCTCACACCCCTGTGTGTTTCCGTTGCCCCTCATTAAGCATTCGTCTAGCTATTCCTTAATTAACCATCCAGCCGCTCTCAGAGGTAATATATTTGAGCACGGCGGGAAACAATGTGAGGAACTTTATTCTGGTCTGGCAGAGAGATGAGATACATAAAAAGGGTGATGACAAAATCGAATACCACTGTATGAGTGTCACAGTAATGGTGTATATAAGGATATGCATGCAAATTCAATCAACGAATGTTAAGGCTTATTTGTACAGTGGGGCAAAAAAGTATTTAGTCAGCCACCAATTGTGCAAGTTCTCCCACTTAAAAAGATGAGAGATGCCTGTAATTTTCAT